TGAGGTCACAGCTTAAAAGGCAATAGTCAAATAACTTCAATGTCAAGTCAATATCTTGAGAATCATTTGTTTGACAGACATCAACTTGGTACATTGATTTTGAGGTCACAAATGTCAAGGTCAGACTGGGCATGTTAAGATATTGACTACTCAAAAACTTAAGAACCCTTTGCTTTACGGACATCAAATATGGTACGCTGGTTTCCCAAAAGTGGTAAATGCCCCCTATTTATTCTTGGTCAAAAGTCAAAGGTCAAGGGTAAAAGTACTCTTTATGCGCTCAATATTTTGATACTGCAGTAACCCTTTGTTTGACAGACATCAAACTTGGTACATTGGTTCCCCTTAAGGATTAGATGACTCCTATTGTCTTTGAGGTCAAGGATCAAATTGGGAATAGGATATATTGACCGCTCAATATCTTGAGAATCCTTTGCTTGGCACACATCAAACTTGGTACCTAAGGTCCCGGGGGTAGCTTAAACCTATATAAATAGTATGGATTGCAGGGGGGGGGGGTGTCCAGAAACTTGGTTGGTAAGAGGGGAGCTTGATTTTTTTTTTACCAGAAGCAGGGGGTCTGGGGTCCTAAAGGACTCCAATGGATCCTGGGCGAAGCCCTGGTTGAGGCCGGGGGGGGGGGGGGAAGCCCCAGGAAACTCATGAATTTTAGTGATTTAAGAATAAAATTTAACTTTATAATTAGCCTTCATTGGTGTAGTGATACCCTCTCCTACAAACACAAACACACCCATCACCACCACCGCCACTTTTCGTCGCCTGTGATGACACCACTTACCTCAATTTATGTCTTTTAGTTTTTTGTAATAATAAATAGATTTTCTAATGAATATAGGAAATATTATAGCCAAAAACAAAATGCATGATTTCCGAATCAGAATGACATTTCTGTGGAAATGACGAAGACAGGGGGGGGGGGGATGCTGTAACGTAAATTATGTTTTCAGTATATATATTTAAATTTCATAAAACTATTTAACCTGTCGTATAAAAAAGTTAGAATAATAATAAGCATCATCTTAGTCGGATATTTAATATTTATTTATATCTTAATTGTTATATCTTAGAAAATGTCTTTTTTATGCAGAAAAAAATTCAGACTGTTTTCTGATATATGTAGCTGCAAAACTGGACGGAAAAAATAGCTACACATGCAATAGGTGCGCGACTTTGGGACTTTATTTCCTAAAACAGCCTATCTCAAAATATTTTATGCCAAAAATTCCTAAGACATTCCACATTTTAAGTACTTCTGATAGAAGCTGGTGGATCTTGTCACTATTTTTTTTTTAAGAAAAGAAATTATTGAATTAAATTGCCTTGGATCTTGTCACTATTTTTTTTAAAGAAAAGTAATTATCAAATTAAATTGCCTTCATCACCCAAGGAAGAAAAAGTGCATTTAATTTAGACTTGCCGATCCACGATTGCCTTTTTTACCTGTAAACAAAATTCTTCTTCTCTTTCCGAGGTTAAGCGAACGACCTTTTGATTCGGGGTTGGGTGGGGTAAATCTTTTTGAGTTTAGATTATTCATTTTCATTACAGTCAAGGACAAATTATTTATTTCATACGAAAGCCCATTGAGCTCATTTTTATAGGTAAAAAAAATATTTTTTCGCGTTATAACGCGAAACTTTAGCGAATAAACGCGTAACTTTCGCGTTATAACGCGAAACTTTCCCTGTAAAACAGAGACATTTGCATAAGTCTACAGTTTGTTTTACTTTTTAATGATCTAGTTTATTCATTACGATGAAAAAAGAAAGACTATTTTGAACTTGGATCATCACAAGCTGAAATTTTATGTTTTCTCGCCATTGAATGTGTCTCTCCTCTTTCTAAATCTTTTTTGCCGTCACATTTTGTCTTTCTCAATGCTGTTCAATACAAGTGTTGAAGCGTATAGTAGAGGAACGAAAATACAAGTCTAATTTTAATTAGATTGAACACTCTCCATAGAATTTGAAATAAAAAATCTCAGGAAAATGTCAACAATGAGGTAAATATCTATATTTCACGGAACATTGTGTCACATCACATTATTAACCTAATGTGAAAATTGGATGACAAATATTCGTATCAAATGATTCTCCGATAGACTCACTGTAGAAATAAAACATTGTATTTAAGGTTGCACCACTTGGTCATACCATTACTTACGAAAACATTGACAATTTATTTAAAGAAAGCAACGAGTGGAGATCTTCCTGAGAAAAAAATTAGTCTAAAGAATTTCTTGGATTCAACAAGTGAAAAACAAGAAAATCTTTAAAGGAATATTCATTTAATTAATCAGTAGGGTTTTGAGATTAAATGCAAAATCAACACTAATCTATCCATTTCTCGCATCAATTCTCTTTTACATCTCCTGAAGAAATATCATTTATAAATTCATAGAAGTCCCCCTCTGCGTTCATGTTTTTTATCTGTCAGTCAAGATCACAGGTTCCCGAGTAACATGACTATATATGTATAATTCCGCGTTTATTCGCGAAAGTTTCGCGTTATAACGCGAAAAATATATATTTTTTCACCTACGAAAATGAGCTCAATGGGCTTTCGTAATTTTTATATGGTCAGGGACAGATTATTCATTTTCTTCTTCACGTAAAAAGTTTGACAAAAAAAGGGGGGGGGGTAAATGCCAATACCCCAAAACTCTATTTGGACAGATTATCTATTTCCAAAATCTGACACCCTCCCCCTGAACAAAAAAAATAATCAAATGGTCGTCCCCTAACTAGTGATAAAGTGGAAGAAAAAACTGGTTGGAGGTCTTTATTTTGAAAGTTGACGATTTATGTCTCCTGTGATATTGAAAGAGTGACAAATCTTTATTGCATAATCTTTTCTATTTCAACGTATTTGATATGCTTATTCTGATATATGAATCAGTTTTCCCTTTACATTGACACACATTGTACCTAATTTTAAAAAAATTAAGGGGGGGGGGGGCTCACACCCTCTCTAGTAAATCCGCTATTTGATCTAGTTCTGTTTATATATAACCTGTGTGGGGAGGAAATACTTTCATAGAAAACAAAGGATTTGATCAATTTGTTAAAAAAAAACAACAACAAACGTAAAGGTCTATGGAATTAATTACGCTTTTCCTGAGGATGAGGCCATATATAGGCGCTTGGTTTCAGGATGGTGCATTTTGTGTATTATGTGTTTTTTGTGTCTAAATAACCTCATTACAATAAAAATAAAAAAATCGCTGAAATTAGCACGTTTTAAAATTATCATATTACTGTAGTATAGTAGTGTTTATTATCGTGACATGTGTTAAACGACATGAACGACCGTACAAAAATATTAGAATACAAACACCGGCCCGTTGGACCTATATGTCACCTTATAAGAAATACAGTACATAATCCAGCTCTAATATACATCTCGTGATCTTAACATACGGAATAAATACCTGGTTTATTTTATCCAGATAGACGGTTTTCAGATATATGAATTCTTCACTGTTATTCATAGTAATTACCATTTGAAATAAAGTTTCTGCAATGAGTACAGTCAATATAAGTCGTTGTTGATTTGAGAAAATCCAGTGGATTTCATTCATTACTGCAATGTATATAAACTCTTTTTATACAAATACAAATATTTATTGGCACAAACACAATTACAATAATTGGCAAAGGCCCATTGAACATCATTAGATGATGCTTACATAATTTTCATGTAGTATTAATTAATTGATTTCTATGTTCAAAACAGTCTCTATAATAAATTTCACAGTAACTTTATGTATATCACTGTTTATACATATAATTGTAACTTGTATCTTTCATTGTAAAGATTAATATTTTTCTTTGTTATTTCATAAATATGTGTATTTCTTGAAAGGTATTTGTTTCTTAGCTTAGAATAAGATTTACAGTGAAAAAGAAAATGAATTTCATCCTCAATCACATCAGTATTGCAAGCATTACAACATCTTTCATTTCTTGGTGTGGAAATATATCTACCACTTTCCAGTGGCGTATAATCCTTTCTGTTAATGTGTAGGCTAATGTGAAGTCGAATACTTCAGCAGGCGCGAAGTATCAGTATAAGAAAGAGTTCACTGCTCGTGGGGGGGGGGGGGGGGTCCCACGGAATACGGAAAAAAGACCAGAATGGTGCAATTTGATGTAATGAAAATGAAAAAAAGGTTTTATTTTGGTTTGCTATTTATATTACGTTTTTACACATGTATTCTGGTCTAAGTAATTGTTTGCCGTAGAAATTTTCTGTGAAGTTGGAAGACATCCATGATTGTCATTTGACCAGTCAATATAGTAATTCATTATACCCATATACCATATATAATAATCACTAGTAAAATAGAATCTGATTGGCCGAGACAGTCACGTGACCGTCGTGCACGTGTTTGCTCTGCAATAAAACTTCGTGTTTCACGATTATGACGTCACATGCGGCGAATAGAATTATCATGACCACGTGCACTTAACAATATTAAGAAATTTTAATCCTAGACAATTCACCCCTTTCAGGCCCGTAGGAAGCAATTTCACTTTTGGGGGGCACCACACCAAAGTAATTTACGACAAAAAAGTGATATTGACAAAACCATTAGTAAAAGATAATTGCATAAGTATGTGCATGCATTGAGGTGCACGACATGTACATCAATCTCATTAGTTTCCCAGAAAACCCCTCACCTTTAATTTTAAGTTTTGTTTTGCTTTTTTTTTTTGGGGGGGGGGGGTTAAGGATTATTTTTCACCTTTTCTTGTTTATTTCTTTATCATTTTGTTATCAATCATTATCATTTCTGAGTCATGAGGTACTTAGTATTCGGTAAACTTTCCAAATATCGCCAGTCTGTGTTCACTTTCACTTACGAACTCCTCAACTATTTTTTCGGGATCCAGTTCATCTGTCTCATTTTTATGAACATGCAATAAAAGCAAATTGTTTGTTCGTATTTGGCTCATTGTTGATCTCAGTGATGTTTTCTATCTTTTCAAGGCGCTGAATGAGCGCTCACTGGTAGCGTTAGTTGCAGGAAGTACCAAAATTAGTTTGAGAATTTTGAGGATCTCGGCAAACAGACTTTTTTCATTTGAATGTCTGAAAAATTCAACCAAACTTGGTATATCTGGCATTATGTCTTTTGGTAAAGCAGTCTTCAGCATTAAAAGCTGGCAGTGAAGATCCTTTGGCTTCAAATCTGTATCATATAGGGTCGTGACAAAATTGAATTCTTCTTCAAACGTTTGACCTTTGCAAGCCTTAATTACGAGGTTTTCAAGATTTACATAAGCTTTGTAACCTGGTTGGTCAAATCTAGACTTTACGCCAGCTAAAAGCAGATCTAATGCCTCGTAGAAATCTTTCCTATACATATCTGCACACGACGAAAAATTATGTGCTGCTGTCCCATCATCAAGTTTACGAGGAATTTTGCGTTTTCTAGGAAGAACCGGATCACCGATGTTCATCTGTTTTGCTTTTTCAACAACTTCCTCGTAAAACTGAGTGAAGACTGTCTCATCTCGAAGACTTTGCAAAGCACTCATTGTCGTTGATGCCATTTTTTGACCATCACTCGCTGAGAGATTTGGAGCCTGCAGAGCCCTTGCCAAATTATCACTATAACGTAAAAGTTTTTCACTCAGTAAACACCCAAAGAAGAAATCAAACCTGCGCATATAAGCAGCCACTCCCCTAATTCTGTTTCTCATTTCTACCTCACGCACGTATTGGAGGCTTTCATCCCAAACATTTCTTAAAATTTCATAGTTTGAAAAAATGCTCAAAAATGTGTCGGCCTTTATTGTCCATCTTGTGGGACACAAAACCCTTATTCCCGCTGACGTTTTCTCTAGATTTTGGGCATTTTTTAATGTATTGAAAATCATCTCCCTTCTTGGAGATTCTTTAATCAACTTTGTTATATCCTTCGCAATGTCCAGGGTGTCTCGAAGCAACTTACATCCCTTAATAGAATCACTGCAAGCTAGGTTAAGAGCATGACCATAACAGTGTATGTAAAGGGCTCTGGGTTCAAGTGCATGAATTTGTGTTGCAACACCTGTCTTTGAACCAGCCATAGAAGCAGCCATGTCATAACACTGGCCTCGTACTTTGCTGATAGGCAGATCGAACCTCAAGAGGGCATCTTTAATTGCTAGGGTTATTGAATTAGCCCCAATGTCAGGAAGACAGTACATCCCTAATAAATCTTCATGAGCGGTGAAATTTTGATCTACCCATCGAATGCATAAAACAAGTTGCTCTTTGTTCGAAATGTCTCGTGTTTCGTCTGCCATGATTGAAAAGAATTCAGACGATTTGATGAAGGCAACAATTTGTCGTAAAACCTGCAACCCCATGACCTGCAATATTTCATTTTGTATATCTGGAGCAACGTACTTATTTGTCTTGCGTTGAAGCCATTCCTGAAGCTGGGGATCGCGTTTAGCCTCAAGCATGAGAAGTTGATTAAAGTTTGAGTTTTTCTCGTCTTTGTCACCCCGAAGAGCAATTCCTTGTCGAGCAAGAAACTTCAAAATGTTTGTGATTTTTAGCAAATTCTCTCTGTTAGACTTCTTCTCGACTTCGTGTGTCTTTGAAAGAGATTCTCCAACATCTTTAACCTCCTTCTTTATCGTAAACTCCCTTTCCATTGCCTCTTTATGACAATCACTTTTCTCATGTGCGGCGAATTTTGTGGTTGCTTTTTTCCAGTTTTTAAAACCTCTATATATGAAAGCTTTTTCTTTCTTGTGACAACTGAGAGTCTTCTTCTGAAATGATTTTATGCAAGAAAAACAGAATACAACATCTTTGTTAACTACATAATGTAACCAAGACCACCGATCAAACCAGGAGGCATTGAAAGATCTCATCTTTTTACCAAACCTTTTTGCTGGAAAGAAAATATTCCGTGGCTGATTTGGGGTACTACCAATCTCGGGTGTATGCCATTTTTCATGTACAACCTGGGTCTTTTGAACTGGTATTTCTGACATATCATCTTCTGATGAAGAAGAATCGAAAAAGGAAGCAACCTCAACATGTTTGTCCGTTTCTTTCTTTGCAGTTTCCCCCAATTTACCTGTTTCAATAGACTCCTCATTTGTGTTAGACTCAAAGAATGGGGAAGGACTATTTTGTGATTGTTTTGGTTCAAATGAGCGATGAGGTTCAGAATCCTCAAAGAATAACCTAGAACGCTTTGAAAGAGGTTCCTTATACTTGTGAATACAGGCAACAAAATGATTAGGTGTCCAACCATCTATTTTTGTAGCAATTGTGTGAGTCCACATGATGTGGATAGCATCCTGATTTTCTTCAGCATCAGCACGGTCAAGAGGAACAATAAGCTGATTATGATCTTTTCTGTTTACACCAGGGTTTTGCACCTCGGGGAATATTGACATGATTGGTTTCTGCAAAACGTTAGAAGCGACGAATATATGTAAAAGGCTTGAATAGTAACCGTTCTGGGTTGTTTTTATTGTTTCCTTTTGTAATGAAGCAACCAAATCACCAGTAATTAAGCAATCTTCTGACAGGGAACTTTCAAAGATATATTGAATTGAACTTTTGTTTGTGGACATGGTCACAAAAGTGTTTTCATTTGTGTAGCGCTTCAGGTTTGAAACAAGTTCAAACACAATTCGTACCCTCATTTCCTTAAAATTGTCCTCATGTCCAAACACAAAAAGAGAGAGAGTTCTGAATAAACAATTCCCATCACCATATACCTGAATCGGGACAAGCTCAGAAGGAGCATCATTTGGATAAATCTCTGAGGAAACAACATCTTTTCGAATATTCGAAGTTGGGATATTAGGTATGGTTGTTGGAAGGGGACATTTCTTAAAACTTTGCCCTTTGAGTCTAACAACAAAATTTAGTGCTCCCCATCCCTTTTTTCCCGCATTCCTTGCTTCTTCGTGCACTTTTTCGAAAAATGCCTTTCTTTCATCCGTATGGGCATACATTGTGAAATATGATCAAAGTTGAAACTGTGCGGAAGGTTGATCTTACACTGATATGATAGTGTCTACTCTTGGACCAAGAATGAAACAGATCTAGACAGCCTGAGACTTTACAAGCTTTGAAAAAGTTGTTACAAGTCATGACCTACGTCACTGGGGGTGTGTTACGTCACTGATAGATCATACTTCACACATTGTCGGTTTACCTTTACCATAAAAACAGTGAGGATAAAAAAGTCAACAATTCATCATATTAGCTTTACAAAAAGATTTTAAATATATACAAACGTTGAACTGGTATTAGGGCAGTTGGGTATAGACATTTTTGTATCAAGACGAAGTTTCTACGAACAAGCTATGTAATGAATTATTAGACCTTGCAATTTGGTCAAGGTCACACATATAAGATACCTTTTGATTAACAACTTAAGGTCATATCCGAAATATCCTTGACTTTCACTCATAGTGCCGGGTACTAAGCTTGACAAACGAACAGTCACTACATATGTAATACCTTTTATGTTTGACACCAGACGCGGTGCTGGGAAAGAGAATCGAACTATGACCTCATGATTACGACCTTTTGGATGATGCCCTAAGAAATGTTAAGGCACTAAGTGCTTTTCATAATAATTTTTTAATTTAAGCTAAAGGACAGTCACGCTGACTGCCTCTCAGTCTCATTGATTTAAATGAACTTTCTGCTTAAAAATAATTATACATTACACTATATGTTAATTTTACTATGTGATTTTTTTATGAAAAAATATTGGGGGGGGGGCACGGCCCCCCCCCGTGCCCCCCCCGGTTCCTACGACCATGCCTTTATAGTGCTTATATACTGTGGAATCGTCCTTTTTGAATACTTTGTTTTATACCTTTCCTAATAAAACAGAAATTATATCCCGTAAAGAATTTTTGTATCATTGTTGAATAAGTAAAATGCAATTTGCTGAGAACATTTTTTTCGCATTTAACATCAAACAAAATAATTGTTTCGCGTTCTGGTCATTTTCCCCTTAACCGTACTGCAGTATAAATATTTAATTTTAAAAAAATTGGGTAAAATGATGTGTAGGCTACAGCCTTTTTTCCTATATGGAATATACGCCACTGCTTTCTATTGCAAGTTTATTTTCACTTAACCTAATTCTACTAAGAGAGGATCTCTCGGATCTTATTTTTAAAACGTGCTAATTTCAGCGATCTTTTATTTTTATTGTAATGAGGGTATTCACATAATTTACCACCCTGAAACCAAGCGCCTATGGATGAGGCCTAATGTCATGTCACGGCCAATTTTACATAGACTTCCAAGTCAAAATGGGACACGTCAATTTGTACGCGTAATTTCTGTCAATACATCGGAAAATCAAGTCTAAAATTAGACGATGAAAACAGAGGTCATATCTAAATTTATCCACAATACGTCACACTTCCGTGTTTATATGTTGTGGTGCAATATACCCGGATCGACAAGAGTATCAAATACATTATATATATATATACGAAAATCTTTAGTCTAAACTCAGTCTGACCAGACAGAGGGAATAGAAAACATGGCTTCAAGCATTCAGTATCAGAAAGGAGAAAGACCGGAGCTGGCAAAACATGACAGCTCTGTCCTGGACCTGGCGTTCGCTATGGACTGTACAGGTAGTCTTTTATAGTTTTATTTGCTTTCAGGGTTTATTTGCTTGCTGGGTTATTCGGAGTCCGTATATTATTATTTGTATAAGAACATGTTCGTAAAAATAGGATGTTAAAAATTCTTTGAAAATAGAAATAAAAAAAGTTTATAAATATTTTGTATTCCAAGAAAACACTAAATTGATTCACATAAACTGTGATGTCATTCACATATTACACAGCTGTTACATGCGGACAGTGAATACAACTCAACCTTCTCTCTCTCTCATACACCGATTTTTCTGTATTTATTAATTACATGACAAAGTCACACAGGTCAGTTTATAGATTTTTTTCTAGAGTGTATGTGTGAATTGCAGGAGAAATGATAGTGCTTGGAATACTGCAAGACAGAGGCATGAACATGACAAGATCTGTTTTATCATAATGCTAGTAATATTATCATTTTTGACGTATCAGTGATATAAAAATTGTACATATATAACTTGATTTACCAGAAACACAACACATTATATATTACCTTTACTTGATATAATAACAGCAATGTGAAAATCTATTTAATTCACATTGTACCAGTCATACTAGTTAATTGTTATGTAATTTTATTATTCAAATACACATTCATTGTATTTTATATAATTTATCTTAATTTGCTGTATTTCCCACTTATTATTTTTTACCTCATTTTTCTCATAAAACCGGTAATAATTTACAACATTTTTCCCCCCACTTTTTTTCTGCTTAATTTCCAATCACTTTTGTTATATGAACCTGTAACTTTATGATGTAGTATTATGTATAATTTAAATGAACCATGTTCAAATCAAACCAGTCATACTAGTTAGCATTCCAGTCTGTTGAAGGAATATCGGTATATATATATATATATAAATGTTTATGTGGTTTATTTAAAATCATCACAATTATACATGTAGACGCATCTTGTTGGACGACAGTAATGAGGAAGGTAGAACATATTTTTTTGTATAGCTCACCTGATCTGAAAGTTCAAGTGAGCTTTTCTGATCACCCATTGTCCTGCGTCCGTCCGTTCTTCTGTAAACTTTTCACATTTTCGACTTCTTCCCAAGAACCACTGGGCCAATTTCAACCAAAGTTGGCATAAAACATCTTTAGGTAGAGGGGATTCTAAATTTTTCAGATGAAGGACCAAACCCCCTTCCAAGTGGAGATAATAAAGAAAAGGCAAAAATTGGATGAAGTCATTAAAAAATCTTCTTTTCAAGAACCACTGGACCAGAAAAGATGAAACTTAGTTGTAAGCTTTTTGAGGTGGTGTTGTTTAAATTATGACAACCCCCGGTTAGGATGGGACCACAACAGGAAATCAAAGTTTTACACTGTCAAAATATATCTGAAAGATCTTTAAAAATATTCTTCTCAAGAACCACTGGGCCAAAAAGATGAAATTTACGTGAAAGCTTCCTGAGGTAATATTAAGGTAAAATCTTTAAAAAATTTCTAAAGAATCACTGTACCAGAAACAATGAAACGTAAGTCAGTCATTCTTCAAAAACACGACAGAATTTGTTATGTCGCTTACAAATTTATCATTGTAATATCTTTACTATAAATTTAAAGAACGATTTTAACTCTAAGACTTAACATACACACATGCATGGTTTTGTAAATATTTATCGATATATATGCAGTTAAAGTTTTGATATAACATACCGGTAATGTAATGTTGAAACACGTATTCACTGCAAATCTTACTGTCGCTTCATTTATTTACAAGTTTCATTATGAAATTTTCAGCCGTAAATGCGTTCCGAATAGATTGCAATGGATGTTTAAAAAAGTTTTTTATCCTATATAAAAAGAAATCAAACCACTTCTCGCAAAGAAATGCATGGATCTTCATTGTAAAAATGACTCATTTCGGGGATTATTTCCCTTAAGAAAAATGTGCCCACAGCCGTCGCCCACTTAAATTTTTGGATATGTTTTGTAGAATCCTTTAAAAAAAATCACATTTATCAAAATCTTTGTGGGCGATGCATGTGCTCTATATTATTTTATAGAAAATTCTACTGAAAATTGATGTCTTCTGCTACTTTTTAAGAAAATACGGGAAAATGTACAAGTTGCTAAAAATCGATTAACTTCCGAAACGATTTTGTTTTAAATTTTAAACACAGAATGTAGATTTCAAAAAGAACTGAAACTTATCTGGAAGTGACCACAGAACCTAATATCATCGATTCGGTTGCTATAGTCAGCTATTTTAGACTATTACATTTTCGACATAACAAAATGAATTAGACAAAAACAGTTGTCTCTCTTAAAAATTTTAACTTCCGTAACGGTAATTCAGGAAAGTTTTTGCATTAAAGGTATAAAAAATTCTATTATTTTTGGAGCCAAATGCTTCACACTTTTGTTAAATATTCTAAAACAAACTTTGATTTTAACTATTGCCGAGAATTTTAACTTTTATTGCTGTGAATTAACTTCCGTAACGATTAACTTCCGTAACGATATTTTCCCGAAATTTTACCTTTATTTCGGATTCATGCGAGACTTCATAAATCACACTTTAGCGTTCTATACTGACCATCAGAAACGAAAAGTTGGTCAATTTCAGCTTTATTTAGAAAATAATAAGACTTGATTAAGCACTAACTTCCGTAACATTACCTTAAAATCAGTGGTATATTGAAATTGTTGTAAAAAGTAAAAGATATCAAGTTCACTGATATGTTTTTTTGAGAATTATGATATTTATTTTGCTATTTGAAACAATTATTTTTTTTTTCATGTTTTATACCCTGTATTGGTCCATTTATCTTAGAATGACTGAAGTGAGAGCACCCTTATAGGTAGTGCAGATTCTGCATTATCATGGCCCCGGTGGGGCCACAATAGGGGATAAAGTTTTACATTGGAATACTAGTATGTACATTAAGAAAAGAAAAAAAATCTATTCATGAATTACAATAGAACCATTATTTTGCAAACATTCCCAAGTTGTGTTGATTCATTTATTTTTTTTTTTTTCAAAATTATGGACCCCGGGATTATAGTTGGCTAAAATCAGGATCAAATTTTACATTGCATGCATGTACACAAGAAAAGAATTTTCTTATCAATCAAGTCAATAGCTCCAAGGCCATGTTAGTCATATTGATACTGAGGCATTCCCATGTTGTGTAAATTCAGAGATTCCTTACAGTTAGGGTGGGTAGATTTAGGATGGGGCATAATATGGGTCACAATTTTTCATTGGAATGTAAAAATCTTGAAAAATCTGCTGAAGAACAGCAGAGCTAAAGTTACTCAGGTGAGTGTTGTGGCCCATGGGCCTCTTGCTTTTTCATTGTTCGATTTTAAAGAAAGTGAAATTAATTTTCGAAAGATACATGATAATTTTAAGTGCTAGCTTTTCTCTCCAGTCTGTTGAGAATAGTAACAAGGTGATGTTTGAATGAAGAAATAAAACTTCATGTACGAGTTACATTTATATTTGTACGGAATTAACTACTCCAGTCAGAACGCCTGCAAAATGAAAATTCATTTTTAATCGGTCACCAGATCTTACAATTCACTGGCTCTGAAATTGTTTTTTTTCTTTAAAAAAAGCAAGAAAACAAACCAAACCAAAACAAAACAAAAACAAACAAATAAACAAAACAAAACAATCGAAGATTGATTAAGGTTCATGCATGTCCCATAGCTGTAGTCACGGCTAAAACGATTTGCGAACGTATAGTTTACGTATGATATAGTGATACTCTTAGGATCATTTTTCTTATAAGAACAAACACAAGTTAGAACATTAAAAAGTTCTTCACTAATAAATATTTTCTGATTATTTATTTCCGACAGGTAGCATGTCTTCTTACATAAACAGTGCCAGAGACAACATTAGGAAGATAGTGGAGGAAATCGTAGCAGGCGAGAAGAGTGATGTTCGTCTGGCTTTGGTGGAATACCGTGATCATCCTCCACAAGACACTTCATTTGTAACGCGAGTCCATGATTTCACTCCATCTGTATCGACAATGAAGAAATGGCTGGACGCTTGTAGCGCCAGCGGTGGCGGTGATACTCCGGAAGCTGTGGCAGACGCTTTGCATGATGTACTCAAACTCAGTTGGCGGGAAAATGCCACAAAAATATGTGTGTTAATATCTGATGCCCCGCCCCATGGTTTGAATCCAAGTGGGGACCACTTTCCGGAAGGATGCCCAGCAGGGCTTGATCCTATGGTTACAGTGCGGGAACTTGCGGAAAAGGGTGTTACTCTGTACTCCGTAGGCTGTGAGCCAGCGATAAATCAATATAGAGATTTCTTTATGGCGCTGGTTTACATTACAGGTGGACAATACGTTCCTCTGGCCGGAAGCAAAATGCTCGCACAGGTTATCGTTGGTGGCGCGAAAGAAGAAATGTCCCTCGAAAAATGGATGGAAGATGTGAATGAGGAGATTAAGAAAGAAATGGACGCTGGTAGAGAGATTGATGACGAAGAGATGTCTCGTGTGGTTCATGCAAAATTGGCATCTAAAGGAGCTGTTGCTCATCAGTTAATGCAAAATAAAGCGTCATTGAAACACGAAAGTGAGGAGGTCAGAAAATACTCAGAAATCACCAATATGGCAGACATACGCAAAAACTATAAAATGGCCGCATATGCTCCGTCAATGGCTCGAAGCGAAGATGTATACGAATGTGAAGAAAGTGGACATACTATAGCACAAGCGAAGAGGATGGTACAAAAATCGAAAGCCCGGATGATGAAAAAATTTTGAAGAAAACCCTGCCATAAATGTAGAACTTTGTATCTTTGTTAGAAATGAAGCTCGGTGATATTAATCATGTATATGACGATTAAAATACATGTACATGCATTTTGTAACCCTTGCACTTGCATTTAATGCCAATATACATGTATGCATTCCTATATCTGTAGCTGATAACAGCTTTTTTTTAATTGATATTGTACTTTTCATTCAATTTTTTTTTAGAATGTCATATTTTGAAAACTGTGTACATATACATGCATGAGAATGAAGAACGAAAATATATACTACATGTATATGTTGAGACGGTTTTTTGGCCAAACAACAAAAATTCCTCGCTTTTTCATACGAATCCCAGTTTTGGTTCAGACATTGTAATACTAGTGTTCAAAGTACTTGTACATTTCTTGCATTATCAAACAATATTAAAAAAAAAAGGCATATCAATCATTTAAATACTGTTGTGACAATAAAAACAAAACGTCCATCCTTTGTTGGTTCTTACGGCTGTCCCATTCGCATGGCTGATCCAAGTTGGATCTGAACTAAAACAATGATTGCACACTCTAAATTTCCTTTTCCTTGCCAAGATAATTTTGGGTCCCAAATACAATAGAGTCTTATAGCTCACCTGAGCCAAGTGAGCTTTTCTGATCAAAATGTGTTCATTTCACATTTTCATTGCCACTGCCACCACTTGTCAGATAACTTTGTCTGCTTGTCAGATCATTATGTCAACTTGCTAGATAATTATGTTTACTTGTCAGATCTCTTTCTCGACTTGTCATTTATTCACGTGTTTTAAAATTCAACGTGAAAATTTGCCCATGCCCAGTTTGTGCCTTCCATTAGACATATTTTTTGACAAGATCTGAGAAGTCATAATTATCTGACAAGTCGACATAAATGTACCACAAGTCAAAATATTTATCTGACAAGTTGACAAAACATCTGACAAGTTGACATCATTATCTGACAAGTCGACTTAACATCTGACAAGTCAATTTGTCTGAAAATTGTCGACTTGTCAGATAATTATGTTGACTTGTCAGAAAATTATATCCACTTGTCAGATATTACGATGTCAAGTAGATTTAAGTTAGTGGCATTAACAAGCTTTAATATCAAGATACCGAGTTCCTAGTCATGACAATTATTTTCTGATAAGTCAACATAAATATCTGACAAGTTGACATAAGACCTGACAAGTCGACATAACATCTGACAAGTGGTGGCAGAAATATGCCACCATAATATGTGGAATTAATCTTTAAAAATCTTCCCAAGAAGAGCAAATCCATGATTAGTCATATTAATATGGAAGCATTCTCAGGTAGTGTAGATTCAAGTTTGTTCAAATCATGGCCCCCTCCCCCTCCCCGGATTTATCTAGAAATGCAAACTTTGAGACTTGCTTCGGATACAGAATCTTACATTTTCCGGATGATTAAACAGTAAAAGTATTTGGAGCAAGTTTCTTCCCAAGTAACTAAAAATCCTACTCAGACCAAACTAGCATAAATGTTGCATCGAGGGATGCACGCTACCAGAACGTTCGTTTGGTGTGAGACCTTGCCTTAAATACTAACTATAGACGACAAAGGCCAACTAATTGCTAAATTGTATGACAAACGAGATGATTTCAGTTTTTCCATTGTCAACTTTCCTTATTTATATAGTAATATCCTGCTATCACTTGCGTGTCTGAGTACGATCAATTTTTAAACCGAGATAGGCTACTGATAGATAAGTTGATGTTACAGGAATTTCAACAACCTCGTTTAAAGTCAACATTTCGTAAATTCTATGGTCTTTATAATGACCGTGTTAACAAATATAACTTATCATCGGGTCGTTTTTGGCTGACGTGTTTCATACCAATAGTTAGGTCTTTGGTTTCCAAAATATTTTTAACTTGCTTATAGGCTGTACATTTGTCAGGGTGGAATGATACTTAGTCTTTTAACTTTTCTAGCGTTAAACTTCAAAACCTTCTCACAAGTTTTATCAATTGGAAAGGGAAGTAACTCCTGGAATTTATGCTTTCAGACAGATTTGATTAAAATTGGCCATAATAATTTTCTTTCTTTTTCTACTCTCTGTAAAAGCTTAATAATTGTGTGTATAATGATTTATGGATGACTACAAACAAGCAAGTATGGATAATCCAGGTATATAATAAGGTAAATTATTAGGTCACCTGAATCTGCTACCTGTTTTTTTTTTCCTTCGTGACCATCTATTAACTTAAGAACATTTTCAGCTTCTTTTCAGGAAAGACTGTGAATCAATTTTGGTATATAGCATCTAATGATCTATTAGCATTGGGTAAGGAGAAAAAAATTGTGAATTTATGGTCTCTGTCCCCCTGGGGTTTGAGGAAATACATGTAGGCCAAAAACCATCAATGCTTACCTCAAAAATCATATGCCTGAACATATTATAATATTGATGGTTAATATAGTGTATGTTTTCTTTACACTTGAGCTTCAAAGAGAACAGCAACATGAACTCCATAATGATTATAAAGTCTTCACAAAACTATGGAGCTAACGTATTCATAGCCTGAGAAACTTATGATACTCATGTGACAGTCAAAGACGATGGACCTCATGTTAAAAGTATTCCTCTTATTTACTACATTTATTTTTTCACACAATTTCGTATATACATGTATATAATAATATAAATTAATTTTTTTAATGTAAAACACTATTTAATATGATAATAACTTTAAGACCAGCTACAAGTATTTCAGAAAGTTACACAAAATACATGTACCAATTATATTAAAAACCACAATCTGTCATAAAATTAACACGCATCAGTTCTATTTTCTCTGTTCTTATTTAGTACATGGACCATGGATTCATTGCAAAATGTTACATTTTCATGGTGATAGAAAGGTTCAGCATCTTTGTACCATTTTATGGCATCAAATTCTGGAAAAAAGAACTTGATTTCTTGCAATGCATTGTCCGGTGAATCTGAGCCATGACAAACGTTTCTTGTGTCTGTCAGTCCAAACAATCCTCTAATTGAATGAGGGTCTGAATGAATAGTCCTGAACACTTTTGTGGGGCCCATAAGTTTTCTCCAGTGGGCAATAGCATTTTCACGGGCCAAGATATGAGCCCATATGTGCCCACTTGACATGAAATTCACCAAGCGGTTATGGAAAAATTTGCCATGGTGTTCCTTGTAGAATTCTTCAGCATCAGTTCGAGTCAAATGTAAATGTTTAGAAGCTACAAAGAAGAATCCATTTTCTTTGATTATTTCATGAATATCCTCAACAATATGAGGACGGGAGGTTACGTCAGGCTTGAGAATCGCTAGAGTTAACTCGAGCTTTGGTCGTTTTGTTGTATAGCATCTTTGCACACATCTCAAATTGGGTCTGGCAGCAATATGTAATATTTTAGCTACATATTTTGCAAATATGCCTGTCATCCTTTTCTGAGGAGTGGGTCTGAAAAAGAGAGAAATATTTTTATGCCATATTCTAGATTACAAAAGAAAAATATACAATAACATGTTCAAATCCTTTAATCATATTTGTTTTCGAATCTAGAAATATTAAAATCTGGTAAATAAAATGACAAATGCTTCTATTAACAATGATTAAACGCTAGACTTGGATGATTCAACGTACCAATACAGATTAACAGCTGTCTTGCAGATCTTGATCAGTTGATAATACTGCTCACTGCTAAAGTTGCAAAGAATATCTCTAACTCTGTAGATCTATACCAAGACGCATACGTGTCATGTTAATAACTGCCGGAGTGTTTATAACATTATATTAGAAAACCTTAAAAAGGAACTCCTGCTGTTTAGAATTTCAATCATCCTCCTCAATGTCGCACATGTCAGACGAATCGAAAGTAGACATCCCAAAATGGTGAAGGTCAACTCGAACATAAATATATTCGTATTTGCGGGGATTGGAGGGGGGTAGTGGTGGTACCGTTTTATGTTCTCAAAACTCAGTTTTGAAAATTACTGTTACATATATTACACTACTTTTTTGTTTTTCCCCAGTTACTTTTTTTTAGTCCGCGTGTGTTCTCTATCTGTAGCTTAGTCCGAAATATCTGACGTTTTCCAGGCTTTTTTCACGATTTTGATATTTTACGTGCCAGGAAAACGTCAGAACCGGCACCATTACAAAAACTGGAAATTCGCCGCCTCCAACTGGAGGCGGCATTCTCGGGTTGATTTTCGATACTTGCGAACCGAATTAAATGCTGAATTCACAACTTATATATCAATAGTACAATGCCTTTAGTACTCACCAACATCGTTTATATGGATTTGTTTGTGAAATATACAATCAGGTGAAAACATTTTATCAGAGGGTCGAGTTTTCTTTTCATTTCGTGCATTTTAAATTCTTGCAAGACCAAATCGAAATGTGGAGTGATATTTTCTTTTCATCGATATTGGTGAGTACAAGAAGCATTGTGGTACTGATAAAGACTAAATAGTAAGTTCGGCATTTAATTCAGTTCGCAAGTATCGAAAATCAGCTCCGGTAGGAAACGGTAAAATTTCCATTTTTCGTAATGGCGCCGGTTCTGTACGAAAGCCCATTGAGCTCATTTTCGTAGATAAAAAAAATATATTTTTCGCGTTATAACGCGAAACTTTCGCGAATAAACGCGAAACTTTCGCGAATAAACGCGTTACTTTTGCGTTATAACGCGAAACTTTCGCGAATAAACGCGTAACTTTCGCGTTATAACGCGAAACTTTCCCTGTAAAACAGAGACATTTGCATAAGTCTACAGTTTGTTTTACTTTTTAATGATCTAGTTTATTCATTACAGTGAAAAACGAAACACTATTTTGAACTTGGATTATCACGAGCTGAAATTTTATGTTTTCTCGTCATTGAATGTGCCTTTCCTCTTTCTAAATCTTTTTTGCCGTCACATTTTGTCTTTCTCAATGCTGTTCAATACAAGTGTTGAAGCGTATAGTAGAGGAGCGAAAATACAAGTCTAATTTTAATTAGATTGAACACTCTATATAGAATTTGAAATAAAAGATCTCAGAAAATTGACAACAATGAGGTAAATTTGTATTTCACGGAACAATTGTGTCACATCACATGAGTAACCTAATGTGAAAATTGGATGACAAATATTCGTATCAAATATTTCATCTCCGATAGACTCACTGAAGAAATACAACATTGTATTTTAAGGTTGCACCATTTGGTCATACCATTACTTACGAAAACATTGACAATTTATTCAAAGAAAGCAACGAGTTGAGATCTTCCTTAGAAAAAAAAATTAGTCTACAGAATTTCTTGGATTCAACAAGGAAAAAACAAGAAAATCTTTAAAGGAATATTCATTTAATTAATTAGTAGGGTTTTGAGATTAAATGCAAAATCAACACTAATCTATCCATTTCTCGCATCAATTCTCTTTTACATCTTCTGAAGAAATGTCATTTATAAATTCATAGAAGTCCCCCTCTGCGTTCATGTTTTTTATCTGTCAGTCAAGATCACAGGTTCCTGAGTAACATGACTATATATGTATAATTATAACGCGAAAGTTACGCGTTTATTAGCGAAAGTTACGCGTTATAACGGGAAAAATATATTTTTGTTACCTACAAAAATGAGCTCAATGGGCTTTCGTAGTTCTGACGTTTTCCTGGCACGCAAAATCTCAAAATCGTGAAAAAAGCCTGGAAAACGTCAGATATTTTGGACTATAGCTGTATAGCTAAGTAACCTTTTTTTTAGGGATGTCAAAACAACTAAATCAAGTATGTGATGCGAACATTAATGAACCTAATGTCAAAATTTTATGAGACATTCATAAACTTTTTTTAGATAGTTAATATGGTTTGATTTCCAACCCAACTTGCTGACGTCATTATGATTTTCAATATTACTTCTTGTTCAGAAAAATATTTACCTAGGCGATCTGAACACACTTTTAATGGCGATATCACTAAATGGTAATAAATCTAAACTGCGCCTACAACTGAACAGAACCACATACTAACCAGGAATTCGAATAAAAGTGCAAACATCAGGGACGTAGCATTGTTTTTGAAAGGGGGGGGCAGCCAGAGAGAAAAATTTCAGCTTACCTGAAAGAACTTGACAAGCAAAAAAAAAAAAAAAAAAAGAAAGAAAGAAAATTTGTCTTAACTCAAAGGAGAGGGGGGGGGGTTATCTTCTTTCAGTACCAAATTTTATCCATTTCATACACCGCCACATTACCTTTATTTGACTATACTGCACAAAAAGTGGGGGGGACGACCTTTCGATGAACATTTTCAATAATAAGAAAATTATGTTTGAAAAAAAGGGGCAGCCCCCCCCCCCTCTCCCCGATGCTACGTGCCTGATCATTTGATGAAGCAAAATTTGAGAGGGGGATAGGGAATGTAGGTAATTCTCATCATTCATGCAACACGGAACCAATGCCGTAATTTTTAATCTTCACATATCCTAGAGGGGGGGGGGGGGTGTTGTTGTGTGACAGGAGAGGAGACAAATGCGACGGACCAGACCGGGATTCGAACCCTGGCCCCCTATTTCTCCAGTCAGGTGCTCTACCAGTTGAGCTATCTGGCCACCGGCGATCAAACCCGTCTTCCTCATTCCACATTTCTCCCTCCTTAATGGTCTTCGCCCCCGAAGACACCAACCCAGGCTCTTCCCTGGCAGGTCTTTCACCTGTCACTTCCAGGGCATGGCGCGGCACCAAATGTAACCGTGTCATGCCCTGGAAACAGGAGAGAAGAAAAATGCGACGGTCACCAGACCGGGATTCGATTCGAATCCGGGCCCCCTGAATCTCCAGTCAGGTTGCTCTACCAACTGAGTAGTCCGAAATATCTGACGTTTTACAGGCATTTTTCTTGATTTTGAAATTTGAAGTGCCAGGAAAAATTCTCGATTTTAATATTTGACGTGTCAGGAAAATATCAGAATCACGAAAAAAAATGCCTGGAAAACGTCAGATATTGCATACTACCAACTGAGCTATCTGGCCACCGGCGATCGAACCTGTCTGACTGCCACAGCTGTACAGACGTATGGTCGATGGTATCTAACAAATATAAAACCGAATACTAATTTTCCACCATACTAAAATGATGTTAAACGAGTCATAAAACATACGTCTAGAAGCATTTCTGCAATAGCTGCAGAACTGTATATCTCCGAAAAAAAAATGGACGGACCCTTTTATTCGGAAAGCTACAGTTCTGCAGCTACAAATTCTGTAAATGAAATTTACACTTATTGCCTGACGCCACGTGCGTCAGGCAGTATAAGGATTAATATTTCAGGGATCCGAAACTAAGCGATCATTCTTAATGAACTAGATTTTGTGCAAGCTGATTTACATCGGAATTTGTTACCTGCATTTAAACAAATACAGTGAGCAGAAGAAAGAATCACATAACTTGTGCAAAATGATGATGTGTTTAATTCCTTCAATTTTTTTGCATGCACATGTTTATTCTTTGCGATTCTTTGTACAGACATGTCCGTGTAACATTTTTTCTGCGTTTCTAAACTACTGGATCAGTCCATTTGGCTTCTATGAAAGGGGTGACACAATTATTTCGTACCAAATGTCACATGTAAATTATCTTCGCGCCTTTTTCTTGGGTCGTTCTATTGAATGGGTGTGATAACTTCTATGGAAATAAATAAAGTTTATTCTTTTAACATGATTCTTAAGCTCCAGATTTTTTTTATTAACAGTAAATTTTATCTCATTTTTTTTGAGAACACATTGTATATGGACAGGCAACACTAAAACAATGGATTTGCTGATTATTCTTACTATTTACCCAATAAGTGGACTAGTCTAATCATAAACAAACTCCGGCCCTCCACCTAGTAAATGGGACATCCCTCTTTGATTCAGTCTGTTTTCCACCTAGCCTTTTTTTCAACATTACATATATCAATAATGTACGTTACAAGGTTAGGTTTTTAAAAATGCTTAGAAAGTCATGACGCGAGTAGCATCTTATTTCATGCTTTGTGATGAACAAGGGTTTCCTTTTAATACAGTGACAATAGTGTAGTCAGTAGCCGTAGCGGAATGGGCTTCACTCCCGTAAGGTTCTAAGTAAAGAATCGGCAAAATAAAGAAGACATAATGATCTGTACTGGTTTTCATTTCATAAAAAAGCACGTTATTATATAAATATGAGAAAGGTCCTGAAATCGATTGAAAAGAAAAACTAAACAATTTCAAAACTGTATATAAAGATGTATTTTAAACTCATTTATAATACATGTATATAGTAAGACCATCATCGTGTGAGTTTTGTCCAGGGGGGGGGGGTATTAGTATTTTGTTTTGCGCTAGTTATAAAGTGTACAGGTCATTTACTTGGATTTCTAGAGCAGCATTGAAGCATTTTTGTCTCAAACACTTCAAGACAACTTTCTCAGTTAAAAGTGTTCATAATTTACTTCGTCGTCGAGAACGACGGAAAACAGACCAGTCTATAAATAGAGGCCGTCATCACTGACCAGGGAGTGTGCATGAAGAAGCGCGCCCTCTAGTAAGAGAGTACATGTAATATGAATTTCTTTAAAAAGAATCATCTAACTATTTTTTCCTCAGAATTATCAGTGGCGGATCCAGGAATTTCATAACGGGAGGGCGCAGTAGAAGGCAGGGGGTCTGGGGGGCTGTGGGTCTAGGGCAAAGCCCTGATGGGGGTTCGGGGGCGAAGCCCCCGGAAGCTGTCGAATTCTTACAAATAAGAGGTGTTTTTTCCTTGATTTTAGGATAATGAACATGTAAGTTCTGCATACAAAAAATTCAAACGGGGGGGGGGGGGGCACGCCCGGCGCGCCGATGCTGGATCTGCCTTTGATTATAATCTACGCTAGCGCACTTGCAGTTTCATGCCAAGGTAACTAGTCAGCCCGTGGGCTAACTAATAAATGACCAAAATAGTGGCATATCTTAGATATTCGTTAATCTGTAGTATTTGGTTATGACATTTAAGAAAGTCAATTGTACATCTTGTGTAATGAAGTATCGCAACTATGTCGCTCCTTGATGACGGAAACATTTAGCACCTCTCTTGCATATACGTTCCATAGATATTGATTGATTAGTCAGGCAAGCTTTTTGAAAAGCTATTACTTGTCAATATTACGTTCACCTTACAGCAAGTGTCACTGTGGACTCTGAACATGTTACAATAACCTTGACCATTGAAATATTGATAGAGGTCGTTATGCTCAGTCTGTGTAAGTACAATCAAAGAAGCGGACAGGATAAATGCGAGAAAGGAGAAGAAAGGGCCAATAAAGGGGGTACATAAATTAAAGATAAAATGGAGATAACTAAGGAGAGAAAAAAGAACCTTAAGAGGAGGAAAGCGGGAGGGGGTAAGATAGGAGAAGGGAGTTACATTTTATGTCCAATTCACTCCATTCAAAAGGAGGGCGTTCCAAAACTCAGTTACGGTCATCTCAATGATGGTATAATCCTAAATACATGTAAATAAAAATAAATAAGCAAAAGTAAATAAGTGCAAATACTAAACATTATTTCATGCCTTTTTGCCAAACATGAGCTCCGACTGCTTTTGAACTCGAATATTTACTGAACAAATTCTGCGACTTTAACTAATTCAAGCTGTCAAATATAATTGATTCCACCTCAGAATGCATTATCTACTCATACATGGACGTAGGAACGGGGGGGGGCAAGGGGATGGGGGCGTGCTTCTTGTGCCCCCTCAATAATATCGTCTGATGAACTTTTTTTGCCTGTCAAGGAATTTTTGCTTGGTAGTGTCCTCAAACTGAAAATGTTTGGTTGCCCCCCCCCCCTTTGAAATTGTTTCCTACGGGCCTGTCATACTGTTTAATAGGTACTCCAATATTTATGAGGTTAAAGTTGTAGGCATAGAGACAGACAGACCCAAAACAAAATAAGTACACTAAAACAATCTTTGATGCATAAAAAATGAATCTTGACAAGGTCTAATCTGTTCCAGGCTTAATTCAAATCAAACGCAAATTATAGTACAATGTATTTTGAACACACTATTTCACATCAACAACATTATTTGATTTAAAACAATACAATCTATTACGTTTTACTGAGATTTTTAGGGTCATAGCTCCATGATTAATATACAGGTAACTCTTGATGGCTCGAACTTCGATCTCTCGAAGTTCTTGATCGCTCGAAGTGAGTCTCCGGTCCCGAATTTTTCCACTATATAACTAAGCAAATTTACTCTTGATTTCTCGAACTCTTGATCTCTCGAAACCCTTGATCCCTCGAAGTCAAAATGCAGTTCCGCTATGCATATTCTATTAGAATTTACCCTCGATACCTCGAAGTGGCTATGTGTATACAAGATTATATACGCAGTACAGTTAAGGCAACATTTTCTATAAAAAGGCACCAAAAACGAGACACTTAAAGTTCAACCGTCTTATTTTTTAGCATGAAACTCTATCTGAAATATCTTAATGGCTTTATGAAGAGTTTGTCCATCGCTTTTCACATCGGTATTTTTTGTCATCATGTGACCCTCTAAAGTCACGTGAGCTCCGATTTTAGGTCAAAATATGAAATGTCAAATTTAACCAAAAAGTGCAAGGGCAAGGCAAACAATATTTGAACTGCACAAGGTTTCATTGTGTCCCTTGGTATCTATCCTATCGAAAAACTGATGCTCATTCAGTCAGATTTCTGAGATATTTAAGTTATCCATTAAAAACAAACACCAGTATTCAAAAATAGGGTATTTTTCATCATTTAATCGGAAATTTTAAATTGCCTAATGAATTACAAAGAAATGAGTATCACTTTTTAAAAACTATACAGTAAAATAAAGAATTTAAAATAAAAACCTACCTCTTGGGTTGTCGCCTTGCCCTTGCACTTTTTGCTTAAAAATTGAAATCTTAACACATTCATTCTAAATATAGTTTTCAAACGCATCACTGACCCAACATGGGAGATAACTCTGTGGTACTTAGTAGAGTTTGTGTACCTCGCAAATTTTAAACAAATACCTACGGACTGCGCTGGGCTTTATTTCACTAAATCAAAACGGTATGCATAAAAAATCTTTGACTTAATTTTGTTTTGTATATCTTCGTTCTTTTATACGCTACACAAGACGTATTTGACACCTACCGCATTTCCTCCGTTCGCCTAAAATTTGCCGCAACATCCATCATGCAAATAAATTGGAAAATGCCCGTGGTTAAAAATATTGAAAGATTCAGTCATTTGTAATAAAAATAAAAAATAGACAGCCCCTATTTATCATTAAACATTCATTCTTCCTCAGTAGACACACAGAAAAAAATATCTCCAACAGAACTTAGTAGTTTTTTTTTTTTTTTTTTTTTTTTTTTTTTTTTTTTTTTTCATATGTGATTATTTTAGTTATCAAACCTTCAACTGTTTATGGATTCTACACTACGTTAAAAGTTTTAAGAACAGAAGGAAGGGATTGGGGTGCTTACTCCTGTATTTAATAACCTGTTTTCCTTTCTACAGATCTAAACCCCCCCCCCCCCCCCTCACCAGTTTGCCTCTGGCTCCTTTGATACCATATACTTACTGGCATGTTAAAAATAAATTATTAAACAGTGTTTACATCAGGTTTTACTTATTTGGGTATTGTAGCACAAATCATATCAGCGTAGGGGGGGGGGGGGCTTTAGTCTCATGTTTTTGAGTAATTATCAGTCAATGCGCAAACAAGATAATCATATAAAAACTTTGTAATACAGAACAAGTGAACACAATATACATGCTGAAATTTAGATCTTGTTGTACCCCAAAACACAGACAGGCGCATACCAGAATGGAAGTGAAATGTACGCAGAGAACGGCTGGGGTCCGCTTTGAGACCCCCAGTGGGTCCAGATGAGGGCCCAGGGGCGAAGTCCCTGGAAGCTCATGGTTTTTACCAAATATTTCTTTCAAAATCATGCCATTTCGATTTTCTTTAGAAAATACAAGACATAGTAATATTGTGTTTAACACAAAGTTAAATACTTCCGTGCAAATTTATTGAATATTTTTTTAAAAGATATATTGGTATCATCTTTCGGCAGCAAATATAATTAATAATTTCAATTTTTAATAAAAATAATATTTCAAATCATATTCTAGTGGATCACTGCATTCAACGGTTGATATTTTCTCAAAGATCTTAAAATAAATTATCAATGTGTTGTAGAAGAATTACAAATTAATGAATGTTTTATTTGGTTTGGCAATGATTTAATAAAACATTACAATTTTTTTTTATTTTTATAAAGACATAGTAATATAGAATTTGAATTTGAATCGAAACAGTATGAGATAAAATAATTTGAAACAGAAATATTTGCTGGATGGTATTGATATTTTTTCTCTTCTCACAAATCTCTCCCTCCCCCCTCCCCCCCCCCCATTTTTTTAAATTTGTAAACGATGTGCACGCACCTGCATATTTGCGTATAAGCAGCTACGCGCCTGTCAGAATACATGCAAGTAAAGATACTCAAATCTTAACAGCCTTCAAACTTTCACTCCATTGTACTGTTAAAAATTCAATGTATTAGTTATCTAGAAAATTTATTTAATTAAAAACAGCCTTTCAAATTCAAAGACAAGCTGTAAAGGGATTTCTGAGCAGGTGCAAATATTTCAAATAGTCCACAATTCAAACAGTCCTTCTGGATGAAATCCATTCTGAAAACAAAATGAAATACCATTATGGAAGGTTCATTGGTGTTTTAAAAAAGTGATACTCAAAACAATGCATTGAGTAACATGGAAAGCATATACATGACTCTACTGTTTTTATTATCAAAACATTTCAATAATCTTGCTAGGAATATGTATGGTTTAGAGCTTATACATGTATGGAGCATACTACCCTTTTATTTTATTGGTGGAAACACTTGCTGCCTGAATGAATTGTTCAAATTGTTTGGGAGTAGCTACAACACAATATATATGTAATGAGTGAAAAACATAATAATTACTTTTGTAGAATGAAATGACATTGCATTGTACAAAACAAACCATGCTATACTATATTTTCTGAAATTCATAAAATAAATGGAAACAAATTAAACTTTTGATACAAAACTTTTCTGGGAAATTGAAACCTATGACAATTGCAAAAGTAGAATTGGTAGCTATACTTAATTTAAGTAAAAAAAAATCAATATACTAGAGATAACATTTAATTCTTTCACCTATACAACATTTTAAAAAAAATATTTAACACTGGCATACTATAAAATTAATGTGAAATGCTTTAGTGTGATCATACCCAGTGGAGAAATTGATGCATCTATTTTGATAGTTCTAGCTGATGTAAATGTTAGTTTTAACCAGTTCTGTGATAGCTACAATGACAAAAGAATTATACATATAAACAGTACATAAATACATGTATATACATATCAGACTGACTTAATGTACATGTAGTCAGACAAATGAAAATTCAAACATTTTATCTTCATTAATGTAGAAATTCTACAAATTTACAGCCTAGTGATATAGATAGTAAAAGTTCTATGATGAATTTAAAATATGAAGCACTGGTAAAAACTGAAATCTTAAAATTCACATATTTTTGATTGCCAGAGGTAAAAATTAAAATTTATAGGGTCTTATACTCTTGTATGTACAGTGCACATACATTGTACACTGTGCAGTTTGACTTCACAAATACACTGTAAGTGTGACTGCATCTAAATTATACTATTTGATATCATGACGTGCTGTGCTTATATTATGTTACATGTTTGTACATGTACATGTATGTACAAAGGACAACATCATTGCATATTTAAAAGTGTGCAACTTTCATAATGTGTGTGTTTTTGTGTATGTGTGTGCTTGGGGGTGGGGTGGGGGTACACACAGGACACTGCATTGCAGTTTGTGACGGACTGTAACAATACATCTTATTGTACATGTTCAAGGTTATTTTACATCGATGTAAAGAATAGTATGTCTACATGTTAATACCTATGCACATACACACCTTAATGAACAGAAAGGGACCTAGGGAGATAGTGCGGATCGTCTCAGTTTTCCATGATTTCCCGAAATAACGTCATCATCTTCTCATCAAAAAGATAAACAAGGCCCAGGTCTCTTATTTTATCCCTATTCTCTTTAAAGATTGCCTGATTGTTGCATTTATCCACTGCATATCTCAGCTGCTGTCGCCAGGTTTTTAGATGTAAACAACATTCCGTGTCACCGAGTGCAAGCGCTTGGCTGAAGCCGAATGCAGCCAAACGACACAACAAAAAGAGAATTATTTCGAAGACGTGTTGTTACTATATAAGAGAAAATCACTAATGTTTATTTATTTAAACCTGAAAATACAGACATTCATTATAAATTCTCGCAATCATCATTAAATAGCTTTTTTGAGCTCTATTTCCTTATATGGATCTATCAAGGCGGAGCAACTGTCATGACGTCAAACCTCATTATGACCTCATTACCATATTATCTTCATGTGTAGCCTTAACTGTACTGCGTAATTAGCACCTTTACCTGGACATTTAAATGGCCCCAGGCAGAAGACGCGGGTCTCGAGGAACAGGATGTTTATTCAGGTGACACTTATGCTGCAAGGTGATAATTGATTTATAATGAATCATGTTTTGCCTATATGCTATTAAAATAATTATCATCGACTGTCTTACGATAATTTAGAGACGCAGTGTCATTGAAAAGTAGTAATTTATTAAAAGACAAAACACTAACTTAATTTTTATTTCGAGTCAGTGTCAAAGTTAAACGAAATATGAAAAAAGCAGAAACAGCCTCAACTTCGTTCAGTGATCATGTTTGGAATAGTCAATGCTATGTACGACGCTGTAGAATGTCGTTTTCATGTAACGAATGCGTAGTATGATGTCCGTATTACAAAGAATAAATAAATATACATGATATGACGATATACATTTTTTGCTTTACTCAGTTTAATGAAATATTCATCTGAATTACGAAAATATATCGTTGTTTTATAAAAACCACGTGTAAAAGGTTAGCACTGCATGAAAATCATTACATCCGGTAAGACTAATTTTAAAACCTGTCAACAAACCCGGAAAATTCCGGACTCTTGAAAACTCGAACTCTTGATTTCTCGAAGTTTTTCCTCGGTCCCGCGGACTTCGAGGTTTCGAGAGTTACCTGTAAAATATTTCACCACTTCAAAAGGTGATAACACGGTTTTGCGATGAAATCATTTTTCCTTCTATAAATATCATTTATAACAATGAGAACTCTCAGACTTGCAGCAATGGAGTAAATTATTAATTACTTATCAGGAACAACTCATTTTACTTTTCTTGTAAATACATTTGTACAATTTTTTTCCAAGTTCAGTTGAACTTTGATATCTCCAACATCGTTATCTTGAATACCATACATGTATATACATGTATATCGAAGTGAGTTGAGAGTCCCTACCAGTTTTTCTTTTTGTATTTTAACTTCAATATCTCGAAATCATGTATATCTCAAAAGTATTTTTCTTGGTGCCATCCAGTTTGTGATACATGTAACGAGGTTTGGCTGTAGTTCTAAACACATCTATGAAGATGGAAGGCAGTATTAGATAGAAACTGTGTTCAACAACAGTTGAAGTTAAATGTATCTCTCTTTACAATGCTTATTTAATGAATAATGTCCAAAGGCATAACTCCGTAAACATCATAATTGCTTGCACACAAACAATTAGAAACAGATAATCCCAATGCACAACATTACAACAAATAAAGCTATACACATAAGACTTCACATCATAAGAACAGACAGAAAAAGAAACACGAACACAGGGTTCTTAACTGTGGCGCAAGACTTACTTAATGTGCTAATATTCGCGGTCATTACACGACCGAATTTGTAAAGAAACTACGAAATAAATTAAAAACACACTGCGCCTATGAATCAAGTTAAATACACAAATTAATTAAAGGCATTAACTAATTGGAAAAATGACTGATAAATTAGATAATAAAGACAATTAATCAATAAAACACAGTGTAAAACAAAAATTAGGATGTTTCCGAAATATATGTATACTGTAACAAAAGACCCCCCCCCCTCCAAACGCATACATACTTATAAATAAACAAATAGTAGCTTATAGAATCTGAAAATATATGTAATAGTACCAATAATTACAACTTTCTAGCATTTAACCCTAATTAAAAAAAATCATATTGTTCATTAAAGGACAGACGAAATTCTGGTAGGTCACCAGTCATGTTTACATCTAGTCTATATATTTTCAATTATTAGTCTAAACTATATATCTTAACTATCTTATGTTTATTTCGGTGGATGTATTCATTATTTGTTAATTTTTCAACATTACAAAAATACATGAATATCGATACACGTACGATGATGTTTTGACTCGTAGTGCCAATGCAATTTTAGAAACTTACATGTAGTTTCATTCATGTGTCTAGCGAGGTCTGGAAGATAATTTTGTAAAAGCCAAACAGTGGATCCTAATTAGAGCACATTAACAGTTTAGCATTAGAAACTGAAACACAAATTAAAGACACATAACTGAGAGTTTTAATTAAGTTTATTTGATTAATAAATTTATATATTTATCTTACTGACGACGACGATCTTGCTGTGGCGCTAATATTTTAACTGTGGCAGAACTGTGGCGCTAGAGAATTTAACAGTGGCAGGGCAGCCACGTTAAACGGCCCACGGAGAACCCTGAAACATGAACTTTTTAAGTTGGTAAAGTAATAAATACAAGTTTTAGGCTTTCATTCATTTTTATTTCTGTGTTAAATTGCTGCTTAAAAAACCAAACAGACAGCATACAAATTCGTTAGTTCTAACATCACTTTTTACAATGAACATTTTCATTACTAATCACAGTTTTTTCTTTAGAAAAAAGAAAAGAAATATAGTTTATAGACGATATCTGGCACCCTCTAGCTTTTTAAGTTCTTCTTCCTTTTCCTTGACCATATCCCAGCTTAATGGATGATGCCATTCTGCAGCTAAAATTCAATATATAAGAATATGTAGTTGTACTGAATATTCAAAGTCTGTGAGAAACAAAGTTTTATTAGATTGGTTATGGATTTTCGTCACTCGTGTTATATAAAATTAAAACAGAGCTCTCTTTAAACACTTACTTTTGACAGGCAATTCAGAAACCTTCATTTCTGAAAATAAAGTTTTACAGTTTCATTCATCTCACTTCTAAAATAACACTTTATATTTTGTATTATACTGATACTGCATAAGTGCATAGCATTTCTATTTACTCATAAAAATTTCCACATAGATATATAAAATGTGTATATTAATCCCTTGTTTTGATGTTTAATTTCTCTCATTTTTCAACCACTACCATAAATCAGCTTTCGATTCTCTGACTTTTCTGTTTATCTTTCTCTCATTTCCCCTCACAACTGTCCTTTGATTCTCTCACCCTGATTCATACTTTCTCATTTTATCAAAATTTCACCAAATTATAATTAAGAACCCTCTATACCCTGCACACTGTAGAGTTCTAATTTCATGGTACTTTAATGCAGTAAGAGTGATCTGCCCTTTGATTAAAAATTAAATAAACTGAAATTGAATTATTGTTAATCTATGCTGTAATAAACAGTTTGTAGTCAATTCAAATATTCTAACATCACATTAGTCAAAGATGAAGTAACTGAATACTTCATTTGCATGTGTTTTCCCCATTTAAAAAAGCAAAAGTTTTTTTTTTTTTGTTTATCAATACTCTGTTGTCTTTGGAACATTTTAAGGGGCCAGAATGGACGGTAGCCTATGTTAAAATGAAATAGATGAACTCAATATTTTCACCATTATACAATATAATATTTTTAAAGTTTAAAAAACATTTTTCACTTGTGTATAAGTAGCTAACTCTCCCTTTGATACTTACTTTCTCTTAGTGATACTAAAGGTGCCCAACTGAAGAGAAGGAATACCCACACAAACCAATATGATGCAAAGCGGAAAAAGAATGTGTTGTTCACACCAAAGACAAGATCTTTGACAGGGGTTCTTCGTAACGTGGAAGAGAGGGTTGGCATGCCCTTCACAGGAGTAAGCCTTTTAGGTCTCCATAAATAATAATCTGGTGTTTGTAATGTTTTCCTGAAAAAAAGAAATAACTTTGATTAGTTATCTGCAGAAGATGTGGAGGAGTGAATAAAGGCGTATCTTGTGACTGGTGGGTCTACACTAAATTGTCATTTTGACTGCCTGCAATATTATCACAGAAATCTTCACACACACTGAAGCAGATGTGTGATTAACCCATGTCAAATAAAAATTTAATTTGACTTTTAACTAAAACTACTTCACAAATTTTGGGAAAAAAATACATGTATAAAATGGAATACTTTTACCAAGTCACTAAATTGAAAAATGTAGATCAAATGCTAGACACAAAACATGGCTGTCAGAAGGTCTGTGTCCTAATATCATCCATGCAAGTTTGTTAATATGAATCCATGCTCAAAATACTTAAACCTGATCTCTCACATGGAAAGTGCAAGTCAAGTGCAGTATCTTAGGCATGAAAGTGAGGTGCATCCAAAAAAATGCAGAATGTATGCATTTGGTCTATACAATCTTACAATTATTTAGGAAACAATTTACTAAAAATAATTGTATGCCAAGATGGGTATAACTCACTTGCTGTATTATGTAAAATATTACAAAATCAAATGAATAAAATAAAGTCAAGTATTCTTTAAAAAAAATGAAAAAATTATGATCTCTATGACATGTCAGTATTCAGGTAGACTTTTGGGGATTTTTAATAATTGATATCTCTTCTAGCTGGCAATTAAGAAGATTTTTTGAGTAAAAACAAGACATTCCAGTGACGATGGGGTTTACAGCAGTTTCAAATCAAACATACCTACAAAAGTGAGGACAGAACATATATAGCTTTTTACTGTCTTATTTCAACACCACCATACTTACTTCAGAACCATAAATTGTCGGCCTTTGGCATCAGTGAAGATCTTGGGTTTTCCAGCAGCAGCCAGGACACCACTTGCCTTTGTTGCTACCTGCTTTGTAGCCATGGCTGTTAATTTATTAGAAACCCTAAATTATCAAACATAATGCATTACAAATAATACACTGTACATATTAATAAAATTTATATCATTATGAAACTGACTGATAATATTCTGATTAAAGCTAAAGGAATTAAAGTTAGTTCCATTGCATTTATACTAAAAACTTACACAGTGTAGAAAAGATTAAAGACATACATAATTTTTCATAATAACACTGATAATTAGAAGTCTCAGGTTCAGGAATAACACAGGCTGACAGAGGAAATTCTGCCTATGACAAATATTTGTCCTTTTCGATAAGATTTACTCTATCATGTTAGAAATACATTGTGCCACTATCACTAAATTAAATACAATATTGCTTACGTCAAATACACACCTCTTAAGCAAAAACAAACTATTTATTAGTTTAATTTTAAGGGAAAATACTCGGCTTGACCTTACCTTTCTCCAGAGGGGTGTTCGAGTATAAATAACTCGTTGCAAATATCATTCGAAAAATATTTCAATTAATAAATAAATTACAAATTTAAATTTTTAATAAATATACTATAAAAACACTTAAATCTGAAAACTATAGAATATATCTGACTATTAAGCATTTTGAAAGAGATTAGATATGGATAAGCGAATTTTATTTCTATAACTTAATGAAGTTGCTGAAGTGAAAGTACAAATTTGATGGAGAAGTAAACATGACATTTCCGAATTCCTCGTCTCGATATATTTCAAACGGAGGAAAATGATAATGGAATAATCTTCACAAGTCGATCTCTAAGGAATGGCCGAAATTTTTCATGGCTTTGAGTTGCTGCTGCTGAAGAAATTCGACAACCACCCAGAACAATGGCGAGAGTTGAAGCAAAAATTGGCAAACAAGGACAACGACGACCAGGAATCTTATACTTATATAGATCTACTCATGATGGGGGTAAATCTTCATAGTTTTAAACTGGGATTTAGAAGATCTTAAGACAACTTCCATTTCTCCTACATCTTAATATTTCACTATCTTTCATGCCTATTAAATATTTTCAATATTCTTATTTTTAACAAATGATATAATGAAATATTTTATATACCAGCTTTTTTTCCAAGTAAAAACAATAAAAGAAAAAATCATAAATATTCTAATGAACAACTTTGTAAAGTTATGCTGTAAACATACTTCCTATCTATTCTAGACACCCGTATGTTTTCTCTGGCATCAACTCTTAATCTGAATGACTCATAATCATGGCAACTCATTGGCAAAACATCAAATGGTATCCAGCAGTTGCAAGTGTTTTTTGTTACCTGAAATCTGCTTATGACTTGAATTTTAAAGTTGGAAAGCCATTCTTTTCTGTATTTTAGGAAGTGGTATATAAAATATGTACTTACAGTTTTCTCACATACCTGGTAAATCTATAAAAACACTGGACAGACACTTAGTGACTGGGGGCACTTTGCATGAAAATTCATCTGAAAATTATTTCTTATCAAAGAAGCAAAATATTAAGTCATAATTTGGCTTTTGAAATGATGTGTTCCTTGTAAACTACTAAATTTTGACCTACTCCATGACCCTACATGTATGTTTGCAGGTTTGAATTTTAAATATTTTTTGGCAAATATATCATGAAATTTTTGATGCAAATCATTCAAATTTATTGTTAAAAGATATCTACCAAAATTTTTTTCCCCATTTTTGCACCATTTTATAGATATGCAACAACAGATATTATTTCTCTTTAGAGACTTCTGGTTTACCATAAAAAAAATGGACCAAGTGACTTTAAAGATAGTTTTTTTTTTAAAGTAAGATCTTCTAATGTTATATGTTTACTCTATTTCCAGAACATTCCTCAGAGTATGTGGTTTTTGTCGGTTGCTCTCCACAACAGACCTAAGTACCTCCTGCAACTCATACTGCAGGATTTAGATAGAGAGAAGTTAGGAAACGTCAGAAGACCTGGAGGTATGTAAATGAGATAAGTTGAGTTCTGATAGGGAGAAGTTAGGAAACATCAGAAGACCTGGAGGTATGTAAATGAGATAAGTTGATTTCTTATAGTGAGAAGTTAGGAAACATCAGAAGACCAGGAGGTATGTAAATGAGATAAGTTGATTTCTTATAGTGAGAAGTTAGGAAACATTAGAAGACCTGGAGGTACCGGTATGTAAATGAGATAAGTTGAGTTCTTATAGGGAGAAGTTAGGAAACATCAGAAGACCTGGAGGTATGTAAATGAGATAAGTTGAGTTCTTATAGTGAGAAGTTAGGAAACATCAGAAGACCTGGAGGTATGTAAATGAGATCAGTTGATTTCTGATAGGGAGAAGTTAGGAAACATCAGAAGACCGGGAGGTATGTAAATGAGATAAGATTAGTTCTTATAGGGAGAAGTTAGGAAACATCAGAAGACCGGGAGGTATGTAAATGAGATAAGATGAGTTCTTATAGGGAGAAGTTAGGAAACATCAGAAGACCGGGAGGTATGTAAATGAGATAAGATGAGTTCTTATAGAGAGAAGTTAAGAAACACCAGAAAACCTGAAGGAACTGTAGATCACAATATTTTTGCGAGATTTTATTTTCGTGAGATAGGTAATTGAACATTTTCCTGAATTCTGGTTATTGCTGTATTTAATCTATACTAATAAAAAATAAAAATAAATATAATCTATACTAATAAAAACATATGTGAGAACAAAATTTTCACAAGCAGATGATCTGACATAATTACGCGAAAAATTATCAGGAATAAAAAGTGATTTACAGTATGTAAATAAGATAAGTTGAGTTCTTCCAGACCCAGACCCAAAAGAGTTTATGCTATCTCCATGGTGTGTCTTATTGCATATTTGACCCTTTATCATTCTAAATCTGTTTCATCGTCAATATTCACAAAAGGTTTCACAAGGTATCATTTCCTAAGGGCTGTCACACTGAAGTAGAAATTAAACATTTAATACAAGGAATGATAATGTAATAGAGCATAAGATGAAAGTGCAATTGATTGAAAATACTTTTCTGAAAAATAAAAAGTTTGATTTTGACCAAACTTGTACATTAGTATCATTTATATTCAATGATCAAAATTTTCTCAAGTTATTACATGCAAGCAAAAGGATGTGATTTCAAGGTCATGTCAGAATTCACCACATATTGATTGTGAATGATATTTGTATTTTAAAGAGAATTTTGTAGTGCCTTTTTTACTGTAAAAACCTTTATTTTGTATAATCATATAATCCAATGTACCTTTTGTATTTCAGAAACTTTGCTGAAGACCTACTTGAATACATACAACTTCACAGAGTTTCATTTAGATAGTATTTTTAAGTATGGTGAAGACAACACTTTGCCTAAAGAGGTAAAATTTTACGTGCGAGAAATACATTTTTTCTGTGATTAAAGTGTTCTGTAAAGTGTAATTAGGCCAATTCAACTTAATTAGTAGATTATCATGCAGGGTCAACAACAAATATGGGGCGGGAGGGAGAATTTTATTTTTTATTTATAACAAAAGTGCTTGACAGTAATTCTCGCCATCTGAATGTCAGGTTGGGGTGGCCTGTTTCAGTATTTCCGCTCACGAAATCATTGTAAAAATCTATGATTGTTTTTTCATCACTAAAATTTGTAGCATACCAACCCCTTCTTTCGTTCACGCCTGTCACAACACGAGAAATAATAAAAACCATTTCTCTTTCTTGACGTGCGGTTCTTGATGTTTCTAAACCGGAAATACTTTTTGAAATATAAATACCGGAATCGAACACGAAAAATTTCCGGAAAACATCATTCTTGCAAAAATAGAAAAAAATGGGGCGGCCAATTTCTGAGGGGTGGGCGGTGATGATAATCTATCAATTAATTTGAATTGGCCTTATATCTCTGCATACTTTCACATTTCAAAAGGAACATTCAGTGATGAGGATATACAAATCTGTAATCATTTCACAGGTTTTATGATATATCTTGCAATTAAAGCTGTATAGATTCACTTATTCAAATTGATCTGAAACATTTTGAATTATCTTAAATATTACCTGTCCTAATTACCAGTTAAGGAAATCACATGTATATATCATTCCAATTTAGTTGTTATACATGCATATATATATATATATATATATATATATATATATATATATATAATCTGATTTTTATTTTTGCAAAGAATGCCAGTCATTAATAACACAAATGACCTTGATGATATTTAGGGACAATGTCACATCCTTTTATATTAATTAACACAATTTGAAATTCGTACAGAATCCTTGAAAAAGGGAACTTCTAAAGCTGTTATTTCAATTTGACAAGCATGGGTGGATGCCTCCCATAGATATAATTATAGTTCATACAACTTTTTTTTACTTGTAAATTGAATGAGATTTATGATTGTTATGATAGTTAAAATTAAAAGATGGTAGGTGAAATGTGATGAAATGAGATGGCTAAAGAACTTATATAATTTTTTTTTTAGATTTTCAAGTGTCCCAATGTGAAACTGTTGTCCCTCAAGTACAACTGTCTGGATAAAATCCCTGTGGACATAGGCAGAATGAAGAACTTAAGATTTCTGGCCTTAACAAACAACAAATTACAAGTGCAATCAATTCCCTACTCTCTGACTTTCTGTCGTAAATTGAAAACTCTTATGCTGGACAATAACCTACTAGATGCATTGCCAGGTTTCTTGTTGAAAATGCCAGCCATAAGGACTGTCCATCGTCATGGCAACCACAATTATTTTAAATCCACTTTCATGTGGTACCACACAGACGTGGGGTACCGCATCATCCCCTCTGAAGGTGCTCACCGTGACTCTGATAGAAATCCTAAGCCCCTCCAGTTCTGGGCGGCTAAAACTGTGATTGGAATGAAGATGGATTTTTTTGAGGATCCCAGCATTTCTGTGATATTACAGGATTACTTGTCAGAAATCTATCACCAGTTCAAGGTGTGCCATTATTGCAATGGTGCCTCCTTTCATTATCAACCAGGTAAATTAAATGTTTTGGTATTCATTGTTGCACGATTTACATAATTGCAAATTTCTAGGTCATATTGCTTATTTTGCAAGAGCACTACACAACATTTACAAGCAGGTCAGGCACATGTAGCACTTTCATACTGTACATCATCAAATTTTTGAGACACCCTTTTTTCGCAAGAAAGTTATTTAAGGGTAAGATTCAAGGATATATCAATGCTATTTTAACTACCAGTAAAGTGTATCTTTCCCCTTTTGTGATGAAAAATTTCCTGATTATCATATATGCAACATTTAAAATATATTTATTTATGATACTTCAAGAAATGATCCTCAGATAAGCTTTTTGTAATTTTTTTTTTTTAATTTCCAGGGGCGGTGGGCATGCCCCCAGACTCTCATAGTATATTCAGTCCTCCAGTGCTAATGTTCAGCAATTGTTCTAACATTTTCCCCTTTATGTGAAAAGGATAGATAATTAAAATAGGCAGATAAATCCCTGGATTTATAAGTGAGATAAAATTTTCACGAATGTCGGTTATTGCTGTATATACCGTAGATCACCAAATTTCTCTGTACCTTACTTTTGTGAGATAGGTCTGTTGTTAGGGCAGGGCTCTATTTTTATGCCCCCGTTATCGAAGGTTCAGTGGCATATAGAGTTTGCCCTGTCCGTCCTTCTAGCTGTCTGTCTGTTTGTTTGTCCTCAGAAACTTTAACCTTGCCCATAACTTTTGATTGGTTAGAGCTATGGCTGTCATATTTCACATGTGTATTCCTTGTGACAAGACCTTTTTTTAGGTACCAACATATTTGACCTTTTGACCTTGACCTTTGAATTTGACCCACTTTTGTCAAATTTTACCAAAATTTAACCTTGGCCATAACTTTTGAACAGTTGGTGTTAGGGCTTTCATCTTTCACAGGTGTATTCCTTGTGACAAGACTTTTCTTTGGGTACCAACACTTTTGATCTCTTGACCTTTGGAGTTTGATTTGCATTTGAAAAATTTTAACCCTCACCATGGGATGCCATTTGGGGGCATCAGTATTTTATTTCACAAACACATCTTGTTGCTATTGACTATATTGTGAAAATGCATTAATTCTTTGAAAATCTTCTCTGCTCCTGTGTATTTAGCAAATAAACATAGTTGTGGTGAGCAAGGGTGCTTCTTCCACATTGTGAAATTTGTGTCCCTAGGGTCAGGGATTCTGATGTTTGGGGGGGGGGGTCTATTGATTATATGGCGAAAGTGCATTATTTCTTTGAAAATCTTCTTCTCTGCTCCTGGGTATTAAGCAAACAAAGTAAGTGCATAGTTATGATGAATAAGGGTGCCTCTTCCAAATTTATGAATTTCATGGCCCCTGGGTCAGGGGTTCTCATTTTAGGGCAGGGATCTATTGATTATATAGTGAAATGCATAAATTCTTTGAAAATCTTCTTCTCTGCTCCTGGGTATTTAGTAGATAAACTATGTGTGTAGTTATGATGAGCAAGGGTTCCTCTTCCAAAATTATGAATTTCAATGCCCCTGGGTCAGGGGTTCTGGTGGTAGGGCAGGGCTCTATAGATCAGATATTGAAAATGCATAAATTCTCTAAATATCTTCTTTTCTGCCCCTGGATATTTAGCAGACAAATTAATTGCATAGTTATGATGAGCAAGGAAGCTTCTTCTAAAATTATGAAATTTATAGCCCTTGGTAAGGGGTTTTAGTATTAGGGTGGGGTTTTGTTGAATATATTGTGAAAATGCATTATTTCTTTGAAAATCTTCTTTTCTGTTCCTGGGTATTTAGCAAACATACTTAGTGCATGGTTGTGATGAGCAAGGGTGCCTCTTCCAAAATTGTGAATTTTTCGGCCCCTGGGTGTAGGGCCTCTGGTGCTAGGGAGAGTATGTCATGACCTTGATGCAAGGTAATTTTGGCAAGTTCAAGGTCAATTACAGAAAAGTGTAGTATTCTTGTCTGGGCTATAACTTTGTAATAGAGAATTATTGGAAGCTCATACTCCGTACAAAGATTATTTATGACCTGAGGATGTGTCATGACCTTGACCAAATGTCATTCCGGAAAGTTCAAAGTCACTGACTGGCAGAAAAAGCATAAAATACTTGCCTAGGCTATAAGTTTGTAATGGAGAATCATTAGAAGCTCAAACTTGGTACAAAGATTGTTTATGACTAAGTGTGTGTTGTAACCTTGATCCAATTTCATTGTGGCAAATTCAGGGTCACTAGTATAAAAAGTGTAAAATTCATGACAGGTCTATAATTTTCTAATGGAGAAATATTGGATATCCATATTTCACTACAAGTTTACTTACAACCAGAGGATGCATAATTTTTTTAACCAAGGTCTTTTTGGCAAGTTCAAGGTCACATTTACAAAATTTGAATGGTCACTTTTAAAAAAATGTGGAGGGGGGGGGGGGGTATTATTTTGTGATCTCGCTCACGCAAATTTCCTTACCTTTCTTATATACACGGAGAAAATAATGATTTTTTAGCTCACCTGAGCCGAAGGCTCATGTGAGCTTTATAATCAAAATTTGACCATTGTCTGTCATTGTTGTCGTAAACTTTACATTTTCATCTTCTTCTCTGGAACCATCTGTCCACTTGCCACAAAGCATCCTTGGATGAAGGGGATTCAAGTTTGTCCATGCTCTCTTCAAATCATGAGCCCTGTGGGGCCACAATAGATGGTCAAAGTTTTACATAGGAATATATAGGAAATATCTTTTCAAGAACAGAAAAGTCATATTCATACAGAAACATCTTCAGGTAGTGTAGATTCAAGTTTGTTCAAATCATGACACCTGGGTTAGCGTTGGGTCACAATGGGCGATCAAAGTTTAAATAGGAATAATATAATAAAAATCTTTTTAAGTCTTAAGAACTTGTACCAGACATTATCAGATTATCTTTCAAGATTCTAAGTATCAAATGGAGGTTGCAGTCTTTGAGACTAAAAAAAAAAGGAAGAAGCAATCTATACCCATGGGCCACAATGCTCACCTGTCATGATTTGAACAAACTTGAAACTTCACTGCCTAAGTATTCTTCCTTGTAAATATGACTAATCGTAACATTGCTGTTTCTAAGAAGGAGATTTTTTTCATAATTTGAACAAACTTGAATCTACACTTCCTGATGATGGTTCACTATAAATATGACTAAGCATGGCTGTGCTATTCTTGAGAAGAAGCTTTTTAAAGATCTTTTCCTATGTATTCCTATGTAAAGCTTTGATGGCCTATTGTGACCCCACCCTAGCCCAAGGGGTCATGATTTTAACAAACTTGAATGTTCACTATCAATGTAAGTATGAATAATCATGGCTTTGCTGCTCTTCTTCAGATTTTTAAGATTTTTCATGTGTATATCTGTTTATAACTTTGATCTCCCATTGTGGCCCCACCCTACCCCTATGGGTCATGATCTGAATAAATTTAAATCTACACTACCTGAGAATGCTTCCATATAAACACATGATAAATATGAATTGCCATGGCTTTCCTGTTTGTGAAAGGAATATTTTTTTTCTAGATTTTTCCTATATATATTCCTTTGTTAAACTTTGATTGCCTATTGTGGCCCTGCCTTACCTCATGGGGTCATGATTTGAATAAATTTGAATCTATACTACCTGAAGATGCTTCCATATAATTATGACTAATCATGACTGTGCTATTTTTGAGAAGATTTTTTTAAAGATCTTTTCCTAAATATTCCTAATGTGAGACCTTGATGGTCAATTGCAGCCCCATCCTATCCCAATGGCCATGATTTGAATAAATTTGAATCTACATTACAAATGAAGCTTTCACATGAAGCTTTCATGTAAGTTTCATCTTTTCTGTTGCAGTGGTTCTTGAGAAAAAAAGATGGCATTAAATTTTCACTAATTCTGTATTAATCTCCCCTTGAAAGAGGGCATGGTCCTTCATTTGAACAAACTTGAATCCCTTCACCCAATGATGCTTTGTGATAGATTTGATTGAAATTGGGCCATTGGTTCTTGAGAAGAAGTCAAAATTGTGAAAAGTTTACAGACGACACAGACAAATGCCAGCGGACGGACACTCTTTGATCACAATAGTTCACTTGAGCCATCAGCTCCGGTGAGCTAAAAAGGTGGGAAAAAAACCCAAAAGTTGCAACTTAAGTAAAAAATTATTTGCTCCTATTAATAACACACAGATAAAAAATTAAAATAATTTCTTAAATCATAATATAATCAGAGTATAGCGTAATACCATCTATAGGAATACTACTTTTACAGAAGTATTTTCATTTAGGATTGTGCCCGACCTGACACAAAGAGTATGAATATATGTATATAGGTTACGTACAAATCTTTAATTTATTTCTGTACACAACAGTTGCTCACTTTGTGATCGAGAGGTCCTGGGCACGTCTTGTCCCCGGCACTATATCAAACCTAAGACATTTTCTTTTAATAAAGTACATGTTTTGAGTGAGAGTACATGCATGTTTTTAAAATCTATGTTTTTCTTCTTAGGTTACAAAGTTATAACCTTTAAAAATCCATACTTAGGGAATACATGTGTTCCATTTCAACACTGGGCCTGTACAATCAAGTGTGCTGTTGCTTTGGAGGTGCCGGCCCGTCAGGAGCAGATTGCTGCAGCAACACGACTGGATGATCTGTACGAGGAATACATAGATGAATGCCAGGCAATGTTCTATGATGTACAGGCCAGACAAAGTGCCTTGTGTGGTTGCATTTGTACATCTCCACCCCCTACAATCCGCTCCCCTCCATCAACAACAAACCATTCAAATCGAATTTGTGCGATTTCATAGATAGTGAACAAAGTGAAAAAATATTTTAAAGGAGGTAGTTTTGACAAATGTACAACAAATTTTTTCCAAGTAAACAAAATATAGACTAAATATTATGTTTAGAAAGAACAGGTATGAAAAGTTTTGTAGAATTTTTTAGCATGAGAAACCGATTAGACATATAACACTTTTTGTGGCTATACATGATCATCCTTGGTTCCTGAGAAGTGTCTTGAAAACAATCTTGATACATATAAAACACAACATGATCTGCATTACTACATTTGATATATTCTTTATGGATGCCAAATTATTTAAGATGTTATTAATTTTAGAACATTTACTATAGTAGTGTGTGCCTTTAGACTTTAACATGAGGCACTGTAACTGTACATTTCAACCCCATGTGAACCATCCTCCCATTCTTATCTAGTTACGAGATCTTCGGAAGGGAACTAGTATAGACTGCTATAGATATATATGTATTATTTTCAAGTGTACTTAGACAGCAGTGAAGGCTCCCCAACCCCAGGTTCTAGTTAGCCTACGATAATTTATATTAACAAATCGTAAAAAATATATTTACTACTGTGTGATCAATATATATATATATATTACTTATTTTGCCAATTGCTGAGCAATTTTAGTATTTATAGCTACATGTAGCTGCTACAATAAATTCTAATGCTTTTATAATGGGCTGAGCCTACAGTTAAATTTATATGAATTGATTATGCTTATATATGAATGGATATTTTGGGAGAAGTAAAGTTTTTAAGCTTTTTTTTCATAAAATATTTATCAAATATGCTACCTTTGTGCCTTTTAATTTTAAATGATGATAGGACCGATTTTTTTTTTTATAGATAAATGTACATAAAAGACACAAGAGGTTCATAAATTGCAAGAGTCTCCCTAGTTCCTAGTTCAGAACAACAAACCTTAAATATTAAGTAATGATTAGTAGATATATTATATATCTCACATGCATAACACTACATGGACTTGGTCTCAATTTATAGGAAATGGATTTTTAAACATTATTGTTGATACTTTGATGTACTGGCAATTGAGGATGTACATGTATTTTGAAGAAAAAAAAACAAACAAAACTTTACATTTTTTGTACTAGTGTATGCATTCATTGTAACTAATGTTTGCCATGTATATGTAGCTCAATTCTTTTTTTAATTTTTGAAAATTAAAATGATCAATGCAAATTCAGATTGGTAAGGTAATTATCATTCGGTTAATTGATATAGTTATTCATGACATTTGAAAGCACTTCTTTATCTACCAAGGATTCTAGATACTAGTCCCTTTGATGAGAGAAAAACTGTAAAATCACATATTTTCAAGGAGTCATATTATCAAGGTTCCAGGGAAAATTATTGTTCCGTGGGGATTTGATTTCATGTATGAGGAAAAGCTGAGTTGTTATATATTTGAAATTTTACATTTTGTGGCAGACATGAATTTGTGGATTTCTTCACACCACAAAAAACCCCAAAAATTAAACCCTCATGAAAAATTAGTGATTTCACAGTAAAACAGAAATCCTTCACTAATAAATGTGCTATTTTATTTTATAGAAGGCAAATAAACATACTCATCTACAGTATATTCTTAAACGAGAAAATGCATTGTGACTTATATTTTGTCCTTATGTATGAGTTTGTTTTGCCTTTGAGAAACATATTTATAAACATGCCTTTATTTATGTTTGAAATGTACTTTTTGCACCCATTGTTGTTGGCATTTAAGACCAAAAAAATTAATCTATAGTTTCCCAGGCACGGCCACTGGTCAATGCTGTCACATTGATCAATTTCGAAAAGGGATAATAAATCAGTTTTCTATTTTTCCAAGTTGAAAACATCTTTGCTAGCCAAGGGTTTCTCATCAAATGTGAGGAGAGTAGAGGATCAAAAACCCTTGGCTACTGAAGTGGAGTTGAAAAAGAAAATTGAGTTATTCCCCTTTTCATAAACCTTAAATGAAAGATTTTTTTTATTAGATACACAATATATTTCTTGTTAAAACAATACTTTAATGAATTAACTTTTTTAAAAAAATGTTTGGAATAACATTATTTATATTTAAAGTTGATTAACATAGTACATGTGTAATTAATTAAGTAAAATTCAGTTGATATCATGATTTTGTTGACTAGCATGAAAAAAAAGACAATTAACACCTAGCTGCTTTAAAAAAAAAACAAAAAAACACCCACCTGTTGCAATGAATTTTGAAATTTTTGACCTGAGAAACAAGATCAATTTTCTTGGCCTTAATGAGGCATTTCCTGTACTGTTTGTTGTTGATCAGAGCTGTGTATATATGTACCAAAATGTGATATTAATAACTTTTGTCTCATATATTGAAATGATTTTTTTCTCCAACTCATAAATGTCTGCACAATACTTCATTTTATCCTTTTTCATCAATCTGAGTATTTGTATGTTCCTTCATATAATATTGACATATTGAGTGAAAATCTACTTGCATACACTGTAATACTTTAGGAATGTTTGCAAAAAAGGTGCATTTCTTACAAATAATAAACACATTAATTTGTCTCTGTTCTTTTCTTGACAATCTGTTATCTCAAAAGTCAAGGTAGGGCTTACGTTGTATCAGCAGCATCAGCATCCAAATCTTGGAGTGGGTTAATTCTCAAAGCATAATGAAGAGCCTTATTAGGGCAAAACTCTAAGATGATTTATCTAGGCATGGATAGTGAGACGCTTACTTTGGAGGCTACAGGAATTTTATATTATTCAGTCATCCAAGTCGCTTTTGTCCGTTATATGATAATTTTGTAAGGTTAGCTTAAGGAAATTTTTCACTGAAGAAAGAAGCTTTGAAATCTGATTACTAAATTTGTTATCCTATTAAGCCTGATCAGGAAGGAATTAATGGTCCTATGTACTGTGAAAAGCAATTTTCTTAATCTATAGCACACTTTACAGTGGATGAGAGAGAAATTCAGTAAATTTTACTTGTTTTCTTATGGTTAGTGTTTTTTCCTTAAATATGTGTGTGCAAGTAAAATCAGCTGTTTCGATCATGCGATTTACTACATCAATATATGTTGTTTACATTCTCTTGAGACATAGACCTATGAAAGAATCTGTGAGATACATGCATTAGCACATCAACAAGACAATTTTTTTTTAATATCTTTATTCATATTTTTTTAATCATATCCCACATCCTGCATATTAAAAATAACATGCAGTTAAATACATGTATGTAAAATACATACTATTCACAATATGGCATATACAGTATGTACAATTTCATAAATTATTAATTTATAAAAATAAAGCTTTAAATCAAATATCACAATTGTACACTGAACTTACTCATTTGATAAGTTACAAAGTAATAAAGGTTTAAGACCCCCCCCCCCCAAAAAAAAAAAAACCCGAACATTTTACTATGCCACCATCTGACAATGATTATAAAATAGTCCTAGGTCTGGATCAAATGCATAATTTCATTAAATATCATCATTTTAACAAATCCCATACAGAATTGGCATGTGTTATCTGGTCTCTAAAACATTTTTGAGGATTGCACTAGAAGTGTTCTGGGAGGTAGCCCGCTCATTATCAGACAGAGACTGAGGAGTCATTGAAGGGGCAAATAAGGTCATTGGCGTTGAGGTTGGAGACCCTGACATGAGGATTGGGGAATTCCTATGATCACTTACACCACTACCAGCAGGCATAGCCACATGTCGGGGAGCAGTGAAGGGGTTATAACTGTCTTTTTGGGCCTGTTTCTGACGCTGGACGTCCCTGACCATATCTTCCGCAGGCAGTTTCATGACCGGAGGTGTGGGTGTTGATTCCGTTTCCAAGAATTTTACAAATAACTCCGAAAATGACTGAAAACAATTAAAAGGAGTACATTCATTTATTCCATTCATAAAACTCTGACTATAAATCATAAATTAAACAAAAAAATTCAACCCTCACAACACATACACACATAAAAAAAAAATCATTTCTGTATTTTTTACTCCTCTGCTTTTAAATATAACTTTTTAAATTTATGATTATGTACAGCAGTTTCCTACTCACACTTTCAGCCTTTGGGGTAGATGGCAGTTGTCCTGGGACAGTTCTTGTGGGGGTGGATGGAGGGACATGAGTAGGAGATCCCCCAAATCTCCATAATCCTGAAACCCAGCTCTTGGAAGCCCCCGTAATCTGAATGAAGGAACAATCTTGTTAAAACATTATTGAATGAGAGGCAAAATCAGCCAGTAAAAAAAATGACATCACAGAGGTTTAGTTGAACAGCACCGGAAAACCCCTTTTACCTTGTTGAAGTCCTCATCTGTGAAATTTAATATGCCTCCCACAGCCCTCAACACCTCAGGCTGTTTATTTTTAGGAGAAAGGAAGTACCCCATCAATATATTTTTAATCACAACTCTGAAAGAAGACAGAAATATAACATTATGTATAATAAAATATTCTTATATCAACTACATGTTTATTCTGAATGACAAAATATGGCTTCTCTGCTAGAGTATTGAAAGAGTTATTACTGATGCTCTTATCAGCAATTTCTACCTTGCTAATTTATAAACTCTAAACCTACTTGTCAACTTTATTATCAGTAGATATTCTCAGGTGATGAATTTCATCTTCAGCTGCCTGAAGTGATTTCTCTCGGATTTGAACTACAATAAAGAATTAAGATCGTCCTCTTATGACTTTCTCGCTAAAACTCATTGCATCACTCAAAGATGACAATGCAAATCATCAATCATTACATAATTTACCTTGTCAAGATTCTACCTCTACAATTCTTTAAAATATTAACTTAATATTAAATTAACTTAAGTGAATAAACATCTACTCTACATTTTTTTAAAAGGATACACCTTTCCAAGGCAGCAGCAGGTGACTCACTGCGTAGGAATATCACAGAAGGTACTGAACTATTTTCCCCTCAGTACCTGATGTAATACTCAGTCACAGTGGCCGAATTATTCACCAAACACACATCTCATCATCTTGTCTGTCCAATCAATGTTCAGGATCCATAAGAAAATATTGAAATCCAAGGAAGGGAAATTTTATTCAAGCAAAGTATGCAGTACCGAAATCTCCAGAGGTTATCAAAATGTCTAAGTTACCTTAGCTTGCAGAAAATGGCATATGAATTACCCTATAGATTTATATTTTCCTTTAAAATTACTATAATCTCTTAATTGTTTAAGTCTTTCACAAGTTGTTAAATATAGTATAATATCCAGTTAAAAGTATACATATCTGGCATTCCCATCATTTCAACCCAGTCTTATTAGTAAACATTCCATTAGAAAAAAAAATTCCGATTAACTTACAGTGTGCAAGAAAGTAGACATGCAGGCTATGTTTTTGTCACTTAATTTTGGTACACAAACATGCATGAATTATTTTCCATTAATTTACAGTAGCATTAAGTAACAGAATACTTTTTATTTAAAAAAGGTGCCATTAAAAGATCATACATTCCCTCACTATCCATGCTTACAGATGGGGCGTGAAATGGACAGTTTGTCATTTTTTTCTGTTGTTTTAGTTTTTATCCTTGGTTGCATGCACAAGTAATCCATGCTGGGAGAAGGAAGGTTAGTGGTGGAGGCAATGGAGACACTTGTGTAATCTCGGCTAGTAACTTGAGATCTTGCTCAACTCAGAATTACCAGCTGAGATTAGACAAACATCATCAGGATCAGGCAAGAAAAATAAATGTCCCATAAATTCACCTTTTTTGAGCTTTCAAACACAATGTTTTTCATTCAAATTAACAAAAAAAATAAATAAATAAAATTCCGCATCTTGCCTGAAATATTCTGGAGATAATTTTTATTTCATCTTGCTGAAATGATCAGTGTAACATACAGAAATATGTGTACAAAATACTCAGAACTATGGGTAATGATATGCTAGGATATAAATTATGAGCATAATTTGTTAGTAAGAAATTAATCAGAATGCGATAGGTAATGTTAAAAACAGTTTGCTACGAAGTTTATCAAAAGAGAAGTGTAATGGTAGATAAAGTTTTCACTGCAAATTCTGCCCGATGTGTTCAAAATGGTGGTCTGTTTATCGTATATCAGTAAGCACCCTGAGTGTCGACGCCAGCTCAGGATTACCAGCTGATATTAGACAACCAGTCGCCTCTTCACCCTGGCAGTCAAAAAACGCCACAGGGGAAAAAAATCAAGTTAACAACCAAAAAAGCTAGGCAAAATTATCTCAAACAGATCTTTTCAAGCAGATAGGCTAATAGCAAAAAAAGTCCATCCCAAATACTATGTAAGCCACAAAAAAGAATTTATAAGCAACTTGTTTCAACAAAAACTGGTTGATCTGGGCAGTTTGCAGGTGAAAAGCTTTAGAAAGACAGAATGTTCTTTTTTAAATATTTGAATTTTTCTACCACATTCAATCACTTTAATTATTCTCTATTTAGTTACCAGATTTCAATTGTGCATTAATTTGTGTGGTTTATTAGTGCCAGGAAATATTGCAGGCAACAAAAACAACACACAACATTGACGGAGAGTTAGTGAGCTACTGCAAGGTCAATGAAGCATGGCCATACCTTCTTCCTTCAGCGCCAGCAAGGCTTCCTCCTTTCGATCAAGCTGTTCAGTCAAGCGTGAAGCAGCCTCTAAGCCCTCCTCAGCATCCATTAACTTCTCCTACAAGTAAACCAAAGGTTTTCAGTAATTAATCCATTTTTTGACTGAATTGAGAGAATTAGAGGACGAATTTCACAATGATATACCTTAGTGGAATTCAACTCAGTCTGCAGTGAGTTGACCTGTTTTCTAAGGTTAGCTATCTCATTCTGGTTCTGTTCCATCTCAAGTGAAAGCTGGGCATCTTTCTCTGTGCAAAATATTTGGCATTTGTAAATCAGCAAGTACAACTACAGAAAACCCACTTGCAAGTATTAATAAACTTGTACTAATCACTGATCTTTGCCGAAATGATCATCAGTGACCTTACCTTGTTGGAACTGTTCTAGAACCAGTTGGAGATTGTTCAGAGACACAGCATATTGCTGACATTGGTCCTGTAATGCTGCCACCTGGAGGTAAGCTTGGTCCCTCTGACCTGCCAACAAGTGGAGCTGCTGCTGTAAGGACTCTGTCTGCTGACTAGCCTGCTGACTGAACAAAAAAAAATCATAGATCATTCTTCACTCAAATCTAACAAAAAGTTCAGCTTATTAGATGAATATTATCCTGATAGCTGATCTTCTTTTAATATAAATATTGCTCTAACCTTGCAGACTCCATCATTGAAGATGATGAAATGACTTTCTCCTCAGCAACAGCCAAGCGGTTCCGGAGATCCTTTTCGCGTTCCTCTGCTGCAAGGGCTTCCTGGGTGTAGCCATCTTCCATCTTTTATATCAAATACATTACAACTTTATTAAAATCTGTGTATTACCAGACTATTTTTCATCAAAAACGTGTCTTAAAAAAGGGCATAAATTACCTACCTGTATCAAGTGACCTCTTAGTCTCTCCAACTCTTTCTGACTTTTGCTGT